GCCAACACCCCCCGGGTGTGGTCCTTTTACTCCGATCTGTTTTGCAGAGAGAAAGAGAAGCGGAGAAGACGAAGGAATCTTTGACGAATATTCTCGTGGGGAAAATCATTCCCTCCAAGTCCCATCTTACCATTCATTTCTGAAGTTTTAGTAAACATTAGTGGAATGAGAATCACTCCCATTTCTTGCATTCCCATTCCCCTTTAGTAAACATGTTCTAAATATTTACCACAAACTTCAAACACGTGATTTCATTTTTATTGTTATTTTTCTTTTCATACCTATAACATTATTTCAATTTTGTTTGACACCAAATACAGGAAAACTAACCAAGTTTTCTTCCTGAATCCAAAGCAGAAAGTTGACTAATCGTAGATAGGGGTTTGGATTAACGTAGTTAACTAATGAGCCACCCATCCTTACAAGATAGATAATTAATGAAAACAACAGTATTAGGGTTGAACTTTGTGACACATACATATAATGATCTCTACTTCGATTCCGATTTAAATTTAAATTTTGTATCATCAGTTGGTGTTACAAATTGAAAGAGAAAAATGATGAACAAAACTTCATTAGATAAATTTCAAAGCTTAATTGATCGAAAGGCCACGTAGCCCTCCTTTGGGTTTAGACAAATCTTTCAACCACTTTGTAAATCTATTGGCCGCATTCTTGTATACGTCACTCTCATACGTGCCATTCAAGAAATTGTGGAACCACAAAACAGAGTTCTTGGGGATACGAGTGTAGTTTCTGTTGAAATCAACGTAGTAAAGCCCAAATCTGGTCCTAAATCCCATGCCCCATTCAAAATCATCCATTAGAGCCCAATGGAAGTATCCTTTGACATTCACGCCATTCCTGCAATATATTTCATTTAGAAATGAGGCAGACATAATATTATCTTTGCTTTAATGTACTAATTCAACACTAGATTATGATGTTGATAAAGAAATGTTAATCACTTACTTAATCGCCCTGTTGAGTCGGTACAAGTGACGAACAACATAGATAATTCGAGACGCGTCGTTTAATTGTACATTAAGGTCAAGAGCATCATTCCTGACACCAGCAATTCCTTCAAAGGGCAACAAAAAAAAAAAAAGGTGCACAAGATTGAGATTATAATTCATGCTATGTCGATGTTATATATATGAAACATTTACATTAGTAATTTAATTAAGTGATTAATCAAACCGTTTTCAGCAATGTAGACTTTAGGGTTATTGTATTTGTCCTTTATATAGTTCATCAATTTCTCCAGCCCTTCTGGCCAATTTCCATTTCCCTGCAACACAAGGAAATTTAAGAGGGTCAAACAATTTTATTCTAAGGTCTGAGCATCAACAAATAAGAGTAGAATTTATAATTTTCTTACCAATCCAGGAGCATCTTTGCCATCTGCAACAATCAAACCATCAGCATCAGGATCAGATTATTAACAGTTTAGAACGTATATAAACTCAATGATATATAGTATTTTTTAAAAATTATTATTAGCTTTGTTGAGCGAGAAAAGCTTGCATATCCCGAGTGTATACATCCGTGACACCTAAGTTTTTCCCCTTGCAAGTAGAGTAAATTACCTACGATTTCGGCTGCTACGTCGAGAGTGTAGCGCAACACTTCATTTGGAGATGGTGGCTTATTTTTAGCATAACTTGATGCGTAATAATTTATCGCAAGAAAATCTAAACTTCCCTTAACCATCACTTTCTCTTCTTCAGTAAACTTAGGCAGCCTCTCCTTCACCAACTCTCTCATGCTTTTTGGATACTCTCCAAACACCAATGGATCCATAAACCTAATGCAAATTAAGTAGAATTAATTGTTACGAAATGCGCCGTACAAATCACTTAAAGCATCCAAGTAAGTGATGAAGAGATTGAGTGGTAATTTGTACTTACCATCCTAAGTAGAAGTCGAAAAGTCGATTTGCTGCATCTTGATCTTCTTGTGATTTTGAATAAGGCACGTAATATGGTGTAACAAGCACAATTCCAACTTCACCTTTTTGTTTTGCCTGCAAGATGATCACATTCAAAAAGAAGAAAAATAAAATTGTTTGGAATTTGATCAAAATGTGGTTCGGTATAACATTTGAACTCATGACCTCCTCGAATAACGAAGAATACCTGGTATTTTTCTCGGTAGAGCTTAGCCACGGTGGCATGAGCAAGAATGAGGTTATGGGCTACAATGTAAGGTTCAGTGGATGAGTTACCACCAAAGTTACACGGACCTACGGTCATTAAACATTTCCCCGGAACTGGAGATTTAAATACACATATATCTTTTGGAAGTGAACACCTCCCTGGTGGGGCAATCCCCAACTCATAACCATAAGATGCAATAATTCTTGGCTCATTAAATGTGAACCAATGTTTAACTCTGTCTCCAAATAACTTGAAACAAAGTTCACTATAGTCTCTAAAGTCATCCCTGCGACAGAGAACAAACATATATGAGTTCTAGTTTATGCTTCTTTCTTCTTTATCCAAATCATATATGCAAAATGAGAGGAGCAATGAGTGTGTGGGTGGTTGTGAGTCGTTGATGCATGAACGACTGAATCTAGCATAATGAACATGAGAGCAAATTATAAAAGAACTTTCAAACAATGAAATGCTTACACAAATGAGCGATTCAAGTAACCTCCATATTTCTCTTCGACGGCTTGTGGCAGGTCAAAGTGTAAAATCGTCACAAAAGGTGTGATTCCTATACATTATTAGAACACACCAAAAAAAAAGAAAAAAAGAATGCATTAAAGCAAACACATAATATTAGTGGAATAACACATTTTAGGATTCAGAAATTTGTAGCGTAATTCTTACCATTTTTGACTAATTCATCAATCAAACTGTTATAGTGATCAACACCCTCTTGGTTAATTCCCCCACTTAAGCTTCCATCTATGTAAGATCCATCAAAATTTTATTATAAAATCATAATCAATATTACTACGTAATTCCTTTATAAAATTAAAAAATAAAAATAAAACCCTACTTGGCAAGATCCTAGTCCACGAGATGGAGAATCGGTAAGAATTTACTCCAAGGTCCTTGATGAGCAAAATATCCTCCTAAAATGCAGAAAATTTCATAAAACATATGGGAGTTCAATTTATTTATTTATAAATAAAAAAAAGGATTGGACATTTGAAGGATGTTTTCTCATTAGCTAATTACCTTGTACCTTTTATATCCATCAACTGCTGAAGAGAATTTGTCACTGTTCATAATTGTATCTGTAATTGAATATTGTAAAGCCTTTTATCTAATATTTAATTGTTGGTAATTTATGAATAAAAGATAATTAAATTTAATTATGTGAACCTGGGAGTATTTTAGCACGATAGTCCCAAACACTTTGTCCCCTCCCTCCTTCATTCGGCGACCCTTCAGTCTGCACGCAATACATATTAAAATACATACATTTGATTTGATTTGATTTTAATTTCATTTTTTTAAAATTATAACATGTACCTGTGCAGCAGCAGTGCCAACTCCAAAAAAAAAATCACTTGGAAAGTCTGATTTGCTAATGTTCAGTTCTTCAAGAAATGTCGAACTACTTAAATTCACCTGAAGTGTGAATGCCCCTGCTGTCACATTTGCTAAAACTACAACAACAAAAATATCATCCACCATATCTAATCAGCTAAAGATGCTTTAATTACGACACTAACATATCACTAACATAACAAGTATGGCAATGTCGAGAAATCTTTCAATGTGACGGTGCCCATTTTAGATGTGGAAATTTTTCGGGTGGAATAAAACGTGATTAGATTTAAAGATGGTGACAAACCTTGAGCATCCACCGACCGGCAAGCTAGTGCAGCCACGACACAAATGGCAACGAGAACATAGAACATTTTTGGTGATGAAGATCTTGATGATGCTAAGAAATCCATGGCCTCAGAATACAAGGGTACAAAAAGCCTAAAAAGTATAAAAATAAATAGGTAAGGTAACAAAAGGCACAAATTGAACGGCGCGGCTATAATGAGAGGGATTTAGTGCGGGAGTTACTTAGATTGATCGAATGGTTTAATATCATTATCCTCTTGATGTTACAACCGGTTGGAATTGCCCGTTTCTAAAAACCAAAAGAGTTTTGTCATCCACATCATGCCTACATTGTCCGTTTCCAAGGAACGTTGAATTTTCTTCTGTTCCAGAAAACATTCAATTTTCTTATGTGTTTTAGTTAGTGACGAGTTGAAACCACCATTTCTCACAGCAAAAGTGAAGACACAAAGGGGAGGGAGTAACCGCCACCTGCGGCCAAGAAAGCAGCAGCCAAGCATTGAACCAATGGTAGCATTGAGTTTAGGTCGGGGTTCCTTAATTTTCTTCCACATTGAAATAAATATTCTGTCACATAAAAAAGTAGCTCTTCACAAATATGTCTCTCAAAACGTAAAAGTTGGCCATGGTAACATTAAGTTTAGGCCAAATTTACTCAATTTTCTTTCACAATGAAATAAATATTTAATCACATAATAAAGTAGTTTATTTTTCTTTAATTATTCCCAAATAAGTCTCTCAAAGTATAAATTTTCGCGGTGCCTTAAAATTTTTCAGTCAAAACAAAATAGGGCAAGAAAAAAGAAAAAGTTTTTTTTTGGCTGATAAATAACAAATGGACTTCATTCAAATAAGATAAACATCTTAGAATCAGCCAAAATTACTGGAAATTAGCAGTGCAACAATGTGAACTCATTAAAACTTGCCTTAAAAAACCTCTAGATGAGGAAATCTTCCCTATCATGTTCAAGCCTAGGCCACAACCAAAAAGGTGCAGCGACGTCCCCACACGACCCCTCACGTTCCTTCACCCAAATTGTGCCAAAAAGTGAGCCCCATTATTCCCTTGTCTAGGTTAGAAACAAACATCAACAACAGCAACTGGGACACTAAACCGCTTCCATGTTGTTTCCCACACTTGTCCATGCGACCCCACTATCTTGTAAGAGGAGGAGTTGTGAATCCAAACCAATCATAAAACCATGAAAACCCCTTTCTAAACGCCAATGGAGTTGCTTGCTACCATCAATTATCAAAGCACCCCCCAAACGCAACAAGAGAGATTAGAGCACTTTTCTCTTTTCCTAATTTTATAATAGACACATCGTCAGCAAAGCGAGCCTTACAAACCAAGCAATTATAAACCTTCCACTTGAGTCACCAGCACTGTACAGTATTCACTTGTGTTTTCCTCAGCCAGACGTTTCACAGATATATCGACTTTTCACTTCTCAGTTCCAAATCTGAAGCCGAACCCATTGAACCATTCCTTGGTTACATGCTAATTACCATGTCTATATGATTAGAAATTGTGGGATTATAATCAAAAACCGAAACTAGAGAGAAAACCCAACCCAACAACGGTAACAACGAGAAAAGCCGCATAGCTATGCTTCCTCTGCCTCCCTTTGATCTCAAAGATGTTCAGCAAAAGCTCGCCACGCATTTCAGGCCTTGGCAACGCTCCTTTCAGTTCTGGGCTCGAGCTGTTGATATCTACACTGGCTACAAGGTCCCTGTTTTCGCTTTTTCTTTCTTTCTTTTTTCTCAATGTATGTGTTCATGTTTGCATGCGTGGAATCCTTTAAGAATCGCAGTGCCTGGACTTATTTGTTTGATGGGTTTTGCTGGGTGTCGATAGGTGTTTCAGCTTCGAGTGATTTTGGTGAAGGATGTGAAGAAACAAGAGGAAATGTGGGAAAGGCAGCATGAAGTTGCCGCTGAGAAGATATATGCTATGTGCTCAGACCTCGGCGGTTTCTTCCTCAAGGTGTTCGAAGAATTTACTGTCTAGTTTTTTCGTATTAATTCCTTCACTCCTTGCTCTTGTGCCACTGAATTTGATTTCAGGCGAGGGAATTGTGAAATGACATGGGTTTTAGCCCAACCCATTAGTTTGTATGTGTTGTTTTGTGTTGAATGCTTGACACAAAAATAAATTTTAAAAAGACTGGATTTTTGTTTATGATCTTAGTCAGTTAAACTATGGAATGGGGAGGGGTTGGTTAATCAAATAGTTCTTCTTTAATTTCCACTTCATTCCTTACAGAGTCGTGCTTTATTGATGCTTGTTGTACGGTTTAATTTGCTTTCTAATTGGTTTTTCAGTTTTAGGGGAGGTACAAGGGAACCTATGGATTTTAAATACAATTCATCACTGGTGGTTTTTGGTTTTGTAATATTTGTACTGATTACTGAACTATTCGTGGATGGTGTTTCAATTAGGTTGCCCAAATTATCGGGAAGCCCGACTTGGCCCCAGCGGCATGGGTGAAAAGGCTTGTTACGTTGTGTGATCATGCTCCTGCAACCCCATTTGATGCTGTTCAGCTTATGCTGGAGATGGAGTTGGGTCGAAATGTTGGTGAGGTGTTTGACAGATTCGATGTGGATCCTCTAGGCTCTGCTTCAATTGCACAGGTATTTCCATTCATGAGTAATTTCTGGTTTTCTTTTATTCAAATTCCACCGTAGAAATTGCATTAATAATTGGATTTTGCAAATATAATATTCTTAGCTAGTATCAGCATCAAAATTTTCATTAAGAGAGGCTTCCCAGAAGCAGACATGACTTGATGATGATATTGATTGTTTTGCTTTAAGTATGTAATTTGCATCTTGAGGATTAATTAAGATTTATGGACAGATATTACCATTAAGGAAGAGTTAGGCACATTTCAGAATTCTCAATGTTGCAATTTATCTTTTTCTTTTCATTTAGTTCCTTTTAGGCTAGCTATTTTGTATTGGAGGACAGAATCATACTGGAAATGGTATTACAATGCTCATAGAAGCTTATACATTTGTACCTGATATATATCTTATGGTCAAACTAGGTTCACCGAGCAAGATTGAGAGGTGATAAGACTGATGTCGTTGTCAAGGTGAGGGAACTGAGAAAATTCTGTGGCTTCTTTATGTTCTGTTCTGTGAAATTCTAATTTCTTGTGGTGTATAATAGGTGCAACATCCTGGAGTTCAGGATCTAATGATGACAGATATTCGTAACTTGCAAGCTTTTGCTTTATGCATACAAAAGACAGATATCAAATTTGATCTATACTCTGTAACTAAGGAAATGGAGAAACAGGTGCCTTATACGTACAAATTTTGGAGTCTTTCTCATGTTAGGTTACTATCTGAAATATAATCATCCATATCTGGAGAATAACTATCTTTTATGTTTCCAATTCAAGATTGGTTATGAATTTGACTTCATGAGGGAGGCTAATGCTATGGAAAAAATTAGACGTTTTTTGTATGAGAATAACAAAAAGAGTCCTGTTTTGGTGCCAAGACTGATGCGAGATATAGTCACTAGGTATGTCTTACTCCATTTTCTTTCCCAAACGACAATGATGCATTTGATGGTTTTCCTTGTCAAATCCTTGCACCATTTAATTATGGGTGCTGTAAGTTCATTTGACTTCTAGTAATCTTTTTTTTTCCTTCCAGAATTTGACTTCTAGTAAACAAGTGTTGCTTTGTTTGGTTAGGAGAGTCTTAGTTATGGAATATATCGATGGAGTTCCAATCCTGAATCTTGGTGCTGAAATTGCGAAAAGAGGAATAAATCCTGGTGGTAAGATTGCAGAGGCTGCAAAGCAGTAAGCTTCTAGTCCGTACAGAAAGCATGATGTCCTTTTTATCTACATTTGTGTGTTGTATAAATCGCTTTTTATTGTCAATAAAGTGCTATTTGTTTATTCTCGCTACTTAATGAGAAAGGTGTCTCGGTTCTTTATATCAACAAACAACCATGTTAGGTGACTTTTCCCTTGATATGCTATCTTTTTGTTTCCTGTCTTATCTCTTTTATTAATTTGCTAAAACTTGTTTCAGTGTGATTTCCTTTTCTTTTCCTTTTAAAAAAAAAAATTTGATGGGCATCTTTCCCAAATTCATTACCTTAACTTTCCCCTTTCTTTCTCTTTTCAAACATATATTGTAGCTCTTAGAAATTTTTGTCACTATTTTTCTTCTTATAAATAGTTTGTGCTCTCATTAGGAATGCAGAAGGACAGTGATAAATTTTTCTGAAAATGCAGGAAAATCCTCCAAAGTTTGACACTAGCATATGGACAAATGATTTTGAAGTCAGGTTTCTTCCATGCAGATCCTCATCCAGGAAATATCCTAATCTGTAAAGGCTCAGAGGTAAATGACCAACCTATATTTGTTTCCTGTATATCCTTATGGATTTATCCCAATTTTGATCATTGTTATAATTTGCTTTCATATTGTATTCTCATATAGCTGTAAAACTACATACTCTTGTCTTTCTAGTTATTAATTTACATTATAGATAATTTCATTTGAATGGTAAGCTGACTTTGAATTTGTATAATTCCTCCAAGTTAGGTTGCGTTGCTGGACTATGGCCAAGTGAAAGATCTACCAGATGAGTTGAGACTTGGTTATGCAAACCTTGTTCTCGCCATTGCTGATGGTGACCCTATTAGAGCATCAGAGAGCTACAGGTAATTTAACTTCGCAGTTGTTTTGTATGCTTATTATGAATGGGAAATTTAACTAGTCAACATGGGAAGAGAAACTAATGCTGAGATGTGAGCTGCAAACTGCATACCAGTGCAAGTGAAGCTCATGGAGATAAAACGCAATAGAGAAATAGGTGAATTAGTATCATAGAATGAGATTGGAAAGAATGGAATGGTTTGTTGTTGTGCTCAACTTCGGAATTTGAAACATGGGCCTAATTCAAAGAATAATCACCTTTCCTTTTTAAATCTCAATGTCAGAGTTTGGTGCGGTGTTTTAGGGGTTGACTATGTATGCACAACGTACTAATTCATTCCTCATTACAGGGAGCTTGGCATAGGAACCTTAAGCAAATGTGAAAATGAACAGCATGAATTGTTAAAGTTGGCAGAGACAATGTTTGACACGAAATTACCCCCTGGAGTGACAATGCTGCAGCCATTTTCTGAGGAATCTTCAATTAAAAAAATTGCAGTTGAGGTATGCTTAGATTCCAAAACTTCATTGGCTGCCTACTTTCACATCGTTTCATGTTTTCACGGTTATCAACTAGTAAAGACATTAATTTGTTTTCTAATCTGAATTTTTTTTTCCCTATTCCACTTGTGATTGTTTACATACTGTTTCCCCTATTGTCCCTGGCACTTGTAGGCTTTCCCAGAAGAATTGTTTTCTGTACTTCGGACAGTGCATCTGCTGAGAGGACTTAGTGTTGGTTTGGGAATCAACTACTCATGTGCTGAACAATGGAGGCCCATTGCAGAAGAAGCTTTGTTTCGTGCTGGGAGGTTAACAGGTGGCCTTTTCAAACTCCTAAGCTATAGAAATGGGGGCTCATATTCAGCAATACATTAATACACACATGCACCCACACATATTCTTGTGCTAACTCCGTCATGACGAAGCATGTTCTTCAAATTGCTTCCGATGGTATATCTGAATTATACCCCTTGAGTTGTTTTCTGATCTCTTTCCATTTACATTCTCACTACCAGGTAAGGCTGTCAAGGCTAGAGGTCGTAGGCGGGGTTTATCAAGGTTATTTTGGAGAGACTGATTATCTTGTAAGAAGAGGTAGCTTTTTGCTGATCAGGAGGAACCTTCTTTGCTTCCAAAATTGGTTTTAGTGATGAGTAGTTTTCTAATTGTCCGATTAATGTTAAACCTGGAGAAGGAAACTTCAGGTCATCGACGGGCATATATTCTTTCCTTTTGGCATCGTTTTATTTCGCCACAAGTTGTTCAATTTCTTTGAGCTAGTGCTGTTTGCTGTTTTAAGATGTTTAAAAAAAAATCTCAGTTGGCTTATTATAACGAGAATGATTAGAATGGCTACAACTCTCTTTGGTCTTTCTTCGTTCTTCAAGAATTGGCTTCCATATACTTGCCTCAATTTACTATTATCTCATTTTAATACAGCTTCGAAATCAAATTCAAAATTAAGCGACTGAAATAAAAGCAGCTCCCCTAGGCTTTCTGGTAGTCCAAAGAGAACAAAACCCGTAAAAAATAAAAATGAAAAATAAAAAATAAAAAATAAAAAAATAAAACGAAAAAAGGTTAGATTATTTTTCCTCTTCAAGTCATCCACGGGCGGACATTGGGCCGGAGCCCAAAGTGAAAGAGTTCAAAGCACGCTTCCCGCCCTTTCTTTGAGTCTTTGCCGCGCCCATCCTCACTTTTGTCTCCTTCTCCCACTCTTTTGTCAAAGCGAGGAGGGTATCGGATGATTCAGATTTCAGATCTGTGCGTGTATGTGAGTGTGGTCGAGAGAGAGTCAAAATGTTTGGGAAAGTAAGAGCGTCTTCTTGTCCGGCCGAGAGCCTGGAGAGACCGCCGTCCAAGATTCTCAAAGACGATTCTCTCTCCATCTACGGTACACACCCGCTCACTACTACTCTTACTTTTATGAGATCAATTTTTTTACCCTCAGATTCAAATATGATGTGTTGTTTGCTTGAGGCTTTTGATTTTCAATTGAACCCTACAAGGGGCCTTGATTTGTCACATAAAATAGTTTTTTCCGTCGCTTTGTCACCGGGCACCTCTATTTTCTGCCTGCCGCATGGTTGATAATATGTTTCGCTGACATTTATATGAAACCCCGGCCATTGAGATTGTTTCTTGTTGCTCACTGTGATGCTAAAGTCATATTTCAATATTTTATTTTGGAAGAAATGTGCAGTAAATTGTTTGAACAAAATTTCACTTGGGTATGCATCTGCTAGGGCACCAACACTGATTGTCGTCATGAATTTCCCTTTTCTTTGATGCAGAGGCTACACTTATGAAGCTTAAATTGGGTTCTAAACGCAATTTGAGTCCATGCGAGATAGATAACGGTTCTACTTCAAGCTCTTCCAATTCGGAGCCAATGAAGATAGATGTGAACTGTGCTTCTGCAGCGGCTTCTCAGGGTCATATAGAGGTGGCCAGCTCTCCCCAGGAGCAGGAGGAGTTTATGACATTAGACACAGATTGTTCTTCAGTAACAAGTTCGACAAGTTCTACTGATTGCCATTCTTTGGGTACCTCGAAACAACAACGGAGTACAAACGTTTCAGTTCTCTACCTGTTTTCTAAATTTAAGAGAGCTCAAGAGGATATCTGCTCATCCTCTGGAGATGCAATGACAATAGAGAGTGCTAGTATTTCTCCAAGTTCTAGCGGTTGGCAATCTCTTAACAGCACAGAACAACATTTGGAAAAGGAATGTGTCAACTCTTTACCTGCTAGGCACATATGCATGCTCTGAGTTGGGTTTATAAAATGGGTTTTGGGTTGTGCCTGATTTGGCACCGGGAATCTGATGCGGTCTTGCGTTTTATTGATCAGTTGAAAGCCAATTTTTTGTTGTAATTTTATAATCCCAATTATGAGGGATTGCTTAATGTATGGGAAATTATGTCAGCCATCAGCAAGCAAAGATATGCGATGAAGTTTTAGTGTTTCGTTTGTCATCAATGAGCAATTTCAGTACAATGTCCTGATTTTGGTTTGAAAGCTTGTGAACACTTCCATGGTAAGCACAGGAGAAATCTTTCAAAATCTATCAAGGCACTCTTATTAATTAAGAATCGATACAACGCCACAAGGAATATAAAGTACAAAAAATTATTGAAGCTTCTCAAAATTACAGATTTAACATGTAATTCCTGAGGGGTTGTTGTCTAAGATCACATATAAATGATACAACGATACATGTGATCAGAAAACTCTTTCAAAACTGTGTCCCTTGCTAGAACTGAGTATTTAAGTGACAATCACTCCCTTAACCATGGTTCTTGAGTTGGCGTCCACTGACATAATTCACCTTCTTTGAACCAGAGAGCTGCACGGTGCAAATAGTGAATGAGAAAGAAAAGTGGGAGGGGTTGGAGAAGAGAAATATCCATCAGAGCAGAGTAAATGATACCAAAAAGAAAGCCTACCTATTTCGCGCTTGCCATTTTCAGGGCTGTCACTCCCATGAACGACATTCCTGCCAAAATTTTCATACAAGACCTTGTCCCATTAGATTTCAAATACACATATATGATGATATATCATAATTCAACTACCAAAGGGTAAGGAGCCCAACCTTCCTGTTTGAACAGCAAGATCCCCTCTTATAGTTCCCGGTTCAGCTTGAAGAGGATTTGTAGACCCAATTAACTTACGTGCTGCTGCGACCACACCAACACCCTCCCATGCCTTGCAAGCAGTGCATCATTATCAGTATCCTTGTAATAAATTAGCTAACATATACCTTATTTCCATTGATTTCCATGGAATACACAAAATAGATGAAAAAACAAGGGTGAATCATACATACCATACACACAACTGGGCCAGAAACAATGTAGTCGATCAATTTAGGGAAGAAAGACTTTCCCTTGAGATCCTTGTAGTGCTCCTGAAACAACAAAAGTCACACGTTATACATATAAGAGTTACATAGTCAGATCATATCAACTTTTCCGTGAGTTACATAATGCTCCTGAACATTGTAAATGAGATTACAATTACGTGTTTCTGCAGATTGATTGCACAGAATACGGAAAACATAATACATAGTAAATGAGAGATTGAATCTCATAACCCATTATGGCCACTCCAGCATACAACTCCAAATTATTTTCTTTTTCAATTGAAATTATTTTCTCCTTGGACTTTGAGCACAAACTGCTTATTATAAATGCTCCATTTGCTTAATTCATCAAATAGGTGAATTAAAAAGTGTGAGCACACAGAACTACTAGAATCTCAAAATGTACAGTTGAAAAGCTTTTTTTTTGTTTTTATAAGGGAGCGAAAGAAAAGAGCCAAACCTCTGCCAAATCTTGGGGGCACTGGAACAGCTTCAAGCCAGTCAGTTTAAACCCCTTCTTCTCAAACCTTGAGATTATCTCTCCAACCTAAACAATTCAATTTCAAATTATATGGACAAAATTAAGAATACCAAGATTAAATTATACTGAATTTAAAAAATAAAATAAAAAAGTTTTTCTACACCCCAGTCAATTAATTGGGGTCAATCAAAATTCAAGTTTTTGTCTTTTCAGAGCCCCAACGATTGAAAATCCCAGGGCTCAATCAAAATTTGAAATTTCATAAATTCCCCAAAGTCTTACCAGCTGCCATTGCCAATTAGCCCAACACAACGTGTAGCTGTTAAAAGTTGAACAAATAAATATAGGAAATGGAGAATTAGCTTACAAGGCCACGCTGAACTCCGTCAGGTTTCACCATTATGTATGTCTCATCAACTTGTTCCTGAAAACACACAGACGAATTAAAATTCCATAAATTTCAATTGGGTTTCCACAAAATTTTAAGCAAAAACAAGGGTTATCAATAATTCTTGAAAAGAGAAAGAGGGTAGGGGTAAACCAGTGAAGCAACCAAGTGGGGAAGAAAGATGCGAGGTTTGGCGAGGGTTTTAGCATGAGGACGAGATGGGAAAAATGAGAAAAGATGGCACTTTGAAGGGAATGCTGATAGCTGGTGGTGACGGGTGCGTAGGTGATTCTTGTGGTGGGCGTAGGATAAGCTGCAACTTCTCTCAGCTGCTGAGCGTTGAAGGGATGAGGAAAAACATGGACTTGCTCCGCCAAACACTGCCAGAGTCTCCATTCTGTCCGTGCTTCTCTATCTCCTCTTTTTCTATCTCTGCACGTGTATATATATTACCCCCGAGAATTTCTCTTATGAATATGCCCTTCAAATAACGCCAAAAATATTCTCGTGCAAGTTTCTTTTTCTTTTCATGTTTAAGTCGAAAAAAAATATGTTCAATTCTTTTTTTCTCCTTATGTGACTACCATGTGATGATAGATACAGGCACTTTTTTTTTTTTTTTTTTTTGAGTTGAAGCGATAGTCTAAACTACAAATGAGGGAGTTTCATACACACACTACCAAGGTGCTATGAGGGTTCAAACGTGAGACTTCTGCAAGTCAAAACTCTTTTTCACTTGGCTAGACCCCGTTGTCAGCACATATTATATAAAACCAGAGACACCCAAGAACCTGTCGTCAAGTATTGTCATCTCAACTTCAATTCTTTTCTTAGTTCAGCAAAATGAACAAGAATTAACTCTCCAATTGTGTGTTCTTCCACGTAGTGTACTTGCTCTTATTTACTGATGACAAGACATATAATCATATAGCCAATTGATGCTACGGAATCTGAACTCTTTAGAATTCTTCTTTATCAGAGACAGTGTGGGACTTTACTATTTTTCATCACCAAGCTACATTAGAGGGGTGACCTCTGTGATTGTCACCTTTGGTCATTAAAGAATCAAAGAAATGTTGTTTTGTACAATTGAAATTCAGCCTATATGCACACCAAGACCAAGCCACCAAGGCTTCTTCTTTATTCCATCTGTTTAATCACCCAAACAGCTCAAATTGAAAGCCAAACTCACTTATTTTCTAACTGCTCCAACGCAGAGTTTGCAGCCATTGACATAGAAACAAAGTCACCCAAGTCTCCCTTCCAAGAATCCTGGATTGTTTTATTTGAACTTAAGCTGAACTGTGAGTTGGGATATTTTTTTTCTTTTTTGTTTTTTTTGAAACTGAGATCTGAGTTGGGATTTAGGAACCAAATCAAAGGTTTAATTAGCACTTCCAGCAGGAGGCAGCAACAATGGGCTTGGATTTCCAACCAAGAACCAAGCAACCCTTTTCTTCCAAAATGGTGTAGCCTTCACACACCTTGATCTTCCCAAGCCATTGCTTGGCATTAACCAGCATCTTAATAGGTGCAGCCTGAAATCCTGCACGGCTCATTCTCCGGCGCCACTGATCAACCCTCTCATGCCTCTCCACCCTTGCCGGTCCCTCACAGCTGATTATGTTCTTGATCTCCTCAGCAAAGTAGAATTGTTCCATCTTGGCACGCCGAGTGTCGTATTTTGGTAGCATGGCATCTAGGGAGTCAAAGATTGCAGAGTAATAGTGCAGTGCCTCCATAAATCTCCCAAGAAAAAATGGTCCATTGTGGCTTGAGTCTTGCTCAACAAGAACCAAGATTTTTGGTGAGAGCTCATGAACCATCTGCAGAACTGAATTAAGAGCTCCTCTGCTTTCTTTCACCACACAATGCAACTGAAGAATGCTATTGACAACCAAGACTTCACCATCAAGCAGTTTGATGTCCTCAGGACGCAGGTTTTCCAAGTTGCTTTCCACCACTGAAAACTCCAAATTTATTCCCAAGCGGTCAGCATAGGCCTCAAGCTCATCCCCAATGATTTGCAATCTGTCACCATACAGGCCAACACCAGTTATTCTTAGGCGGCTAGGTGGCTGGCCTGCACGCGTAGCGAGGCTTTCGATCAAGCCGCGCCACTGGTCTCCATGTGGCAGACCAAGGGTCATCCCCAAGTCCACCACATGAACAAAACTCTCTCCCTCAAAGGCTTCCAATATTGATGAATTGGCCACGAAATGACCAAACTGAATATGGGGGCAAATCTCATAAACAAGGCGCAATGCCTCTTCCTTCTTGTCCAAGGCAAAATCTTTGGCGTTCACTGGGGATCCAATGAACCCAACAGCCCCAAGTGGTTGAACCAGGGCTAGGCGATTCGCAAGGCCTTGGACAAAACACGAAGCCACACGCTGAAAAGAAGAGCCAAAGACCAAAGCATTGGCCCGAAGCTCAGACAGTAAAGCGGAGGCATGTGACTTATCGCGACAAGCAACAGCTTCAGCACAAGCAATGAGGAGCTGAACAAGCCTCATCCCATCAGCAGTTCCATCCTCCTCTGCTCCATTTCCCTCAGCATTGGTCATGGCTGCTGCTGCCTCTTCAACAGCCTCAGCAGCAAGGTATCTTTGTGTATAAGTCCATATATGGTCTCGGAAATGAAGCCTTGGCAAGGTGTTCAAGCTATTCGTGCTGCTGCTGCGGCTGATGCTGCCGTTGGTAACACAACTGTTATTGCTTCCACCACTATAAAGGCTGTTATGACTTGACATGGATTCCGCGATGCTTATAGTTCTTTTCAGCCTCTTGTGGTCTCCGCTTTCATCCGAATAAGGGAGGGTCAAGGCAGAAGCATTGCCCTCCTCCAATAAGGGCATGTATGGATTAGAATAGCAAGACATGGCAGAGTGACTGATGAGATCAAAAGAACTCATTTTATTAGTCCTTTCATGATTGATCGTGTATTCTTCTGGCATGAAGTTCCGACTAGGAGCCATTTCTTGAGCCTATCCTTCAAAGTATATTCAACAACGCTCTGAAAGACCCTATTGCCAAGCAAAAGGACTTAAATAGGCCAATTTCAGCTCTCTCTTGTTTTCGGAGATAACAAGGCGAAAATTATAAAACTCGAAATAAGAATTTAGACGAATTGATGTCTTCTTGGAGGTAAACACACTAAATTTTAAGGTTTAGAGTAATCTCCAAAGACAAGGCAGCCTCTGCTACACTCCCAAGAATCTTGGATTTTACAGTTTGTTCCTCTTCCTAGGTGGTGTAACTATATCATTTCTATGCTGCTGTAATTGAATTACCTTCTTAGGTATATGTCATTTTCGGCATTGTCCTATTCTCTCTACGGCCTCCTGCCCTTTTTACCTCCCTTAATCTTTTACACAATAGCAGAGATAAATTTTTTCTCTGAGCCATTTCATACATCAATCCAGATTCCATCCAATTGGCTAAAAAACCTCTCCAATGTTTTTGGGTAGACTAAGGTTCTTGCAGAAAACAAGGTTTTCTTACTGGCCCTTTCAATGACACTTAGGAGGTGGTGATCCCTAAGAGAGCTGATTTTTTCTAAGTTTCATTTCATGGTTTGTAAATACCAACTTCCATCTCTGCATTCACCAATTAGATTTTACGATCATCTTTTGCGTGTGCACATAAATTATGAACAATTTAAGCAAGCGGGTTTTGTCAAAGTCAAAATTGTAGGCCAATTTATGAACCAGTCAATGAGGATTGTCCCCCCATTTTAAATTTTGCTGCATGAAGACCAGACCAACCCCCAAAATGCATTTTCAATTGAATTGATTCTGTTTTGCCGGCTTGCTTGAAAACAATGAGAAAATACAAGCAGATACATGTGAAAATGGAGATGCATTGGGACGTCATAGAGCCCTCTACGCTTCTTTATGTCTGCACCTATGTATTATATTCCAATAATTCAACAATAATATATGGCTTGCTCATTTTTCTAATTAACAAATTGTGCCCCTCGATCGATACGATCAGTGTAGCATATTCTAAGCCTTCATACTTTGCAACAAGAAATTTAGCTCTTATGTTCCCTTGCCTGGTCAAGTGTCACCGTGCCTTGGAACTGAAGAAAGAAAAAGAAAAAAAAAACGCGTTACCGCGGCACCTATAACTGTCATCTAAACGTCGGGCAGCCGCAGCAAGGGAAGCTTCTGCTGCAGAAGCTTATGTTTAGTTGTTCTTCATTCTAAGCTAAATCATTAGCATATTGCATTGCATGCAGGCTTTGTGCAGATCAATGATTTTAAAATTAAGAATAGGGGCAACAGCTCATTCTTCTTATATAACCAGAAAAACTAGTGTTTTTGTTTTTTTTATAAAAGGCCCAAGGCCAAAGAATTTATTTATCAATATAATGCAGAGAACACAAATCATCTTGAAAGTAAGAGTCTCCATCCAATAACATGTCTCATTACAAGATAAAGAAAATTAACTAATTGATAACCCACAAAATTACACGAACGAGGTTGATGTCGCAAGGATACAAATAGGAAACGACGGAATAACTCTTTCAGTCTCTCTATCAACTCTCCTTCCATGCTCATGTCAAATTCCTCTATCAACCTAGAAAAACTAGATATTTTACTAATTATTTAATGCACTACAATATAATTATGATAGAATAAATTGGCTTTGTAAGAAAAGAGGGACCACTGAGCAAGAAAATTTGGATTGATGCACTACAAATAAATATTAACAATGAACAAGACCCACTAAGTACCTTTATAAATAATATATATTGTACAGAAATTTAAATTTTATTTAAAAATAATAATTGTGATATCAACTTGGGCCCTAGAAATTGCCTTTGTTTGTATGTATAAATCAACAGACTAAAAACACTACATCAGCCAAAAATAGTAATGGAACAGAAACATCAATTTTTCTCTCCATTTGAATATTTGGGTTTGTCTGTCTATTTCTTTGCATGCTGGGAATGGAGATCATGTGAGGTTCCAGGGAGGCAGAGGGTTTTGGGCTTCACTAAGGGGCTACAATGCATTCATCAGGGCTGGATTTCTTGCTTGGTTCATTTGATTTTGACCCACATTGACTTGGGAATTTGGATAGATTCACCACACAAGGAATTACATTCTTCTATCCTAGTTTATAATGTTAGATCTACATGTACACCCGATGTTTTGTGTTCGAATCTCTTTCTAAATATCGCTCGTATAAAAATAAAAATAAAAATATGCTAGACAATTAAAATTGTTCCCCAAATAGTAAAGGTCTTTAAGAAATAATCCTCCTTTAAATTCATCCACAAAATGTAAATTTGAGGAGAAATCACTTAAAACCTAAGTGCAACTATTCCTAGTTTCCCCAAATTTGGAACATCCCCAAGCTTCTCTCCAAATCACTTATATCACTCACTTGGACTCATGGAAAACAGCCAAATGAATTTTTGGGGACATAAATTTCTAGATGCATATATTCCATTACTGCATGGGGGCCTCTTTGCAATCTTATCCATGGATCACCTGGATATGATCAGAAGAAGGAGCAATTAAGCACATCATCAATACTAGGAGGGTTGGCTTTGGCTCATGTCCAATTGGGAATTTGGCATAGAGTTGCCCCATGTGTTATGTACTCAATATTCCTCATCTAAAACTGTTTGTCATTGGTTAATTAGTAATTATAGACTTGTGGCTCTCCCATGTTTAATGTGGAATCAATCTCGGACGTAGGAATGATACTTTTAATCGCTTGAGCTACAAGCCCCTTTACCTTTGTTGATTACGTATTTTTTTTGTTCCATGTATGTATTGGATATTTATGATGTAGATACGTGGTACATGACTATGCCACAACAGCTCCACAAGCTGGCTATGGAAACCAAATTTGGATTCAAATTAACCAAGGTGGTTGGTGTGAGTGGTTCGGCACTCTCATTCCTTAAGAGAAGGTCAGGGGTTCGATCCTTGCTCTCGTATGGAGTCACCACTTTGGCCAGCACTTTACCCCTTACGGGCCGACCCGGTGTGAGCGGGGATTAGTCTGGGTTGTGGTTAAGGCTTAAAGGTGCCACCCATAGTTGGGGCCCATCCAGGACCACCTCGTGGTTCAAACCAAAAAAAAAATCTGGATTCAAATTTCAAGCACGTACTTGTAAGCTCAAGTGGAATTAGCAGCATGCTTTTCTTACACTTGTTTGCCTACTTCTTTTGCTTAGAAATTTAATTTGGTTGCGCCAATTGTAAGCAAAAGCAATCTCACCTGGATAAAAACTAGAGGGTAAAATTTAAAAAACAAAAAACATATAAAATTCTTCCAAATTTCCAAGATGGAGGAGCTCTCTAAGCCGGCCATGCAACACTGCAGCTTCCATATATACTGCTACTTTTCTCAGTGCTTAAATATAATCAAATTTCATATATAGACAAAGGAAGAATTACAATACAAGAACTAATATGCTAAATGAAATTCATACTCATACTACAACAGTAAAAAGTACAAAATTTGAAAAGAAAAAAAAAACAAGGGGAAGGATTTGAGGTAACCTTCATATATATATGGGAACTAGCTTAGCTGAAATTTAATTTAACTATAAATGTAAGCCTGACTAGCTATGGATACGAAGGAGCGCAGACGATGCAAGCAAGCAAGAGAATGGCAGTGGAAGCTCCATCTTCTTCGACATTGGAGGTGCTCCTCTTGAATTTGCAAACCTTGCTTTTGTTGCACTGTATTTGCTTCTGCTGCTGCTGATGATGATATTGCTGCTTCTGTTCTTGTTCTTGCTGCCTTCTCTTCATTGCCTCTTCCACTTTAGACACCATATTGGTCTTGGTTTACTTCAAAATTCAGAATAAAGCAGTTCAATTCAGAAAAGGAAAAAGAAAAGAAATAATGAGTTCAAAAGACTGATAGACAAAGAAGAGGGGGACAGAGTATTTGCTTGGGGAACAGACATACATGCTCTTCTCAATTTATAGCAAAGCACTCACACAACTGTAATACCAAAAATACCCTTGGTATATGTTTATACATACATATGTCAGTTCGCGATTTGCAGAAGGAATGACTTCTTACATGTAACGAGCGGAACAATGTTGTCTTAGTAATTGTATGACAGAGTCGTTGTAAGATTTTTAGATAGCATTACGCAAGTGGGATGAGGCCATATGTGTGTTAGATGGATGGGGTCATAATTGCCAACATGTTTCAGTGTCTGGTCTTTTTCCAAAATCACCACAACAACAGTCACTACAGTTGCCTTTGCATTGAAAATTTGAAATATGTATCTTTCATTCAAGTTTTGAAAGGTAAGCTTTGTGATTGTGACCTGAGTTAGGAAACAAACTGATTTAGTTTGTATAATTTAAAATCTAACACACATATATGAGCAATCATGTTTTATCGGCCTATTTAACACTTTCCGTTTCGATAGTTTGCCTCAAATTCGTTTTAGTCCTAATATTTGGGATCGATTGTCAAAAAAATTGACGGTATGTTTAGTTTGGATAAAAACTTACATGTTACGAGTTGCTTGTCCCTTTTTTCTCTGCGTGAGAAGAGATGAAAAGAATAGGGTGATGAAACCATGCCTTGTAATTTTTTTTGTAGTTTGAACAAAAAAGACAGTCGAAAATTTTTAGATACAATACAAAGGTAAGTTCAAAGTGAAATTAAAGTCAAACTAGATGGCTTTTCAGGAACAAAAAAAGAAGATCAAAGTAGATAGATGAAATTGCAGTGTACTTAATGCTATTATTATACTACGTATATATAGTATAAACAATAGTACACATATATATACCAGAGTCATGTAGCAGACTGGCACTACATGATTTTAAATTGTAAACCACTTTCATCTAATACAATAACCATTAATATTCTTTCTCTCCATCATCATTTTAGCCATCCGGCACACATAGGATTCTCTCCTACGTTGGAACAATGCTCAATCATAGATCAACTCATATAATTATCATAGCTGTACAAACTAAACTCAATTAAGAGCCTAGAGCTAGTCCCTTAATTAAGTATAAGAATATACAATTACAGAGTTGTGCTTGAGTCGGTCACCCTTAATCAGCCTTAATTAAGTATAAGAATATACAATTACATAATTGTGCTTGGATCAGTCGCCCACGCACCAATAGAAAACTTGCATCACCGGCTGAGAATTGCCTGATAGCGTGCTTATGGTTTCATACATATCTATAATATGCAAGTGAAGATTACAATTTGCTTTGTATTGAAGAACAAAAGCAATAAAATGAACGCTATAGAAATTGAAAGAAAAAAGACAATGTAATAATGGGCAACTCTAAGCCCTTATAATAAGGATTTGGAGCTTTCCCAAGTTAGTCTTTTTGTCGTGCTCTGTTGAGTGACAGAGTCTTCATGTGCAAGACCATGTGACCATGTGTCCTTGTTCTCATCCTCTTCAGGCTAAATGGCCTGCATAGGGCCCAAACGTTTCCCTCCATTATCTATAGTAATACAGGCTTTAAAATTTTCCTCCCTTCTATTATTCCCTAAATTTCTAATTAACCAGACCCCAGTCCCATAACTCCCACTAAGTAATTTTCTCCTCAGGCAGTGTGGTAGGTTATTGTTAGACTTTGAATAAGAACTATTGGATATGAGATCATGTCTTAAGGATCGTGTAAAAGATGTGTTGAGGCATTTGACAGATTACGAGGCTTGGAAATCTTTCGAACAAATTCAAGAGTTATGTCTAAATTTATGATCTTGATTTGCAGTTTGTAAATCTAGAGTTGAATTTTAAACTATATTCTACAAACAATCATCTCTCATTGAATAATCAAATAAGTTAAAATATAGTAATCCACCACACAATCATTGTATAGCTTATGATTTGATTATTCAACCAACTAATAAAACATCACATGAGCTTTGCTTTAAAAATATCTTGGAACTTAGCTTTACTTAGAACATCCCTAACCGATATGCCAAATTGCCACATGAATCTTGGTTTACATGATTGGTCATACGCCTTTCATAACTTATAATATATTGTCTTTGACTTTTCTTAACTGGGACTAAATTTTCATGAAAACAAATGCAGGGTTAGAATTCATTCAACACAAGGAGCCAAACCTCATAATAAGTAGATGGAGATGTGTTTGTTGTGAACGAAATGGACAAGCAATGGGAAGAGAGGTAAGATTCATGAACCCATAATTCTTGGCAAACAAGGTTGCAGGGGCCATGTTTTGAAGAAATGGGATGTTGGCAATTCTGAGAACAAGCCATTTGGGATGGTCAAGCCTTCAACCCAAGATAGGCATACTTGCTTTAGTTGGTGTTTAGTCCTTTCCTTCTTTAAGGGCACCAAAAATACAAATTAGCCGATACATTACAAAGAAGATGTATGTCTTTCCTACATTCCTAGGACTGTTCCCTGTAATATTAACCAAATTCAGTTGCCCTACTATTGGCTCTATGATTGGCTAAACCACGAGCCCATTTTTCATTCAAATATTTTAGTGCAGTAGATACCAAATCAGAAGCTTTCAAATAAATTTATCAAATTGAATTGCTTTTCTCTCTTTAAAAAGAGTCTAAGGTGTAGTGAGAAGAGGGTTTCTCATGCACACACTATCAAGGTGCCATGAGGTTCGCCATCCAGCTGAATTTTTATAAACAAGACGAATGCCACAATATGGGAATTGTGGGAGCAAAAATTAAGGCCCAATTAACAAGCCACTTCCCATGAACCCTAAGTTTAGGGAGTGGAGGGAATCAAATAACATGATATCCACTACCATTGAGCATGGAGATAAATTAGGGATATGAGACTTGGAGTCCAAGGGTTCAATGCCTATAAAAGGCTAACTAATCCCCTAGCATAGGGGGGGAGAGGTATGATTGATTCTACTGCAGTATTCATGAACAAACACTGACTTGAGCGTCAGAGTGTTTTCTTGCAGGTACCCCCCTCCTCACTCAATGGTGATAATCAAATATGGTGTCTGGCTTCTCAATATGGAAATCAAAAATTACTTGTTGGAGGATCCGAAATTTTCCGCTCCAACGGGAATATTATTGGAATAATAATACGAGCCTCAACTAAACTGATCGGGAGGGCAGGGATTAGATGAATTTATACAAGCCCCAACTAAAAACCTAGACAACTGATCTCAAGGCCTCACAAACCTGGACTCCCTTGAATGACTTGACATTTGCAGTCTCACATATAATGTCTACCAGTAGGTTCACAGCATGTAAGAAATCACTCTCAGTGCAATTCCCAGTATGCATACACAAACTACCACAAACAAGCTCACATGGTTTAGTGCTACAGATGCCGATCCATCTCGAGTTCTCAGCATTAACCAGTGGACTAAACTGGACTAAACTGTAACAAAAGCTGCAGCAATGGATATTTTGCTTTTGCTCCTTTTACTTCTCAACCACAGAGTAAAGATCAGCATCCACAGCCAACATGGTTAAGTCAATAAACTTGGGATCCTTCAGGAGTCAAAACTGGCTCAATCATTCAATTCCATCATAGTTAGTTACTTACACATTAAAGGAACTCGAAAACCCTTGAAATTCTGTCTTGCCTTTGTATGCCTTGACAATCTCAGGAACCACTGCTTCATACTTGCTCAAAATTCTCTGCCTGAAATTCTTATCAGTCATCTTGAGCACATAAGGAAATTTAACATCTTCCTTTATGAACCCCTGTGACAACAAAAGTTGTAGAACTGAGCACCTAGGAATAATTCTCTTCTCCAAGCTAAACAGTAAAATGCCTGGATTCTTGGAAATCATCGATGGCTTCATATTCAATTTGTTCATGAAGAAAGACATCAACTTATGGATCTTCTTCACCGAATTAATCATACACATGGGTTGCTTTCTGAATGCTGAATAAATCTCATCTTTTGACAAACCTAAACTTCTATAGGTTTCCAACTTCCGCTCCCAGCATGCCTTACTCATCCTTGCCATGGTACAAACAGCTAGAGCAAATAGCACTGTGTTGGGATCAAACCCCAACTCTTTAACATCACCAATAATCTCACTAACTCTGGAACCCTTCAGAAGCAACGTTCTTGGATTAATTAAGAACGTTTTCACAATAAGTGACTCAGGTACACCATGGCTCCTAAAGATTGATACGTTCGGGTCAAGTACCTTTTCAAAATTAAATTCAAGCATCCGGTGGCATCCCTTTATAGCCTTTGAGGCACTCACATCACTGCCAAGAAACCGCACAAGCGCTTGAACACTTGGAATGATGTGGTTTTCAAGGCTCCTTGTTAGAACATAAGGCTCATTGGATAAAAGTTTGGCAATGTGAAGCTCTGAAAGCCCCAAAGATTTCAAAAACTCGATCTTTGGATTTATAGTCTTCTTTACATGGTATATAAACAATTTAGGAAGCCTCATGGTCAAGGTTTTTATATCCTTTTCACTGAAACCATGACTTCTAAAGAGATCAAAAACCGTTTGAGCATCACTCTCAATCACTCGTGGGTGTTTACTAAGCATTTTGGCAAGGCTAGCGCCTGAAAATCCCAAAGACTTAAAACAACTTCATATTGGGCCCAAGTTTAGTGTCTAAATCAGCTAAAAGCAATCCTGGACGTTTGGTGATTAGGTTTTTTATGTGGCTCTGAGTCAACCCGTGAGTTTTAAACAGGCTCAGAACCGAGTCAGGGTTGTGTGTGGCTTCAATCTGGAGCTTCTTGGCAAGTAAAATTGCTGATTCTGAGGACAACCCACATGATTTTTTGAGGTAAGAGACTGTAAAAGATTGCTGGTCTGTTAAATTCGAGAGCACTTTGATGGGTTTGCGAATGGAGGTTGAAAACAAGAAGTAGCCATGGCTGAATGGAAATGGTGAAGCTCTGTGCTTTTGTTTTGTGCAGACTAAACGAAGCATTGGATTGAGAAGTAAAAGCTTGAATATTGCTTTACCTGGATTGTAAATGCAGCTCTATTTGAATGCTACCGATGTGCTTGAAGCATTGCCTTCCCCTTTCTCCTTGTGCAGTGCCGTTGGCTGCCCTAATTGGGTTGCAGTACAATGAGCTGCACTTTTGAGTTTTTCAGTGTTTTCACCGAACACGACGGATGTAAAGACGTGTCGTTTATGGTTGCATTGTCAACGACGCAACGACGTGATATGGCTAGCCCATTTGAATGTATGTGGGCCTATGGCTGAAGATTTGATAGGTTTGGGTATTGAGTTTCAAGTCGGGCCTAAAGCCACAATTTATATCAAGTATGGTTTTCTTGCCCCACCTCCCACTACTCACCAAATTTCACCTAAGCCAAGCAATGTTTTTAAAAAATTAAAATTACAAAGTAGAGTGGAATTGGATTTGGACCAGATTGGAGTTGAATTCAAGCAAATTTTTACGGGTTTTAGCTCTCTAGATGAAATTTAGAAGACACATATGCTGGATTGTTATTCAATTTAATAAGTTCAGTTCCGACATTTATAAGTTCACCAAACAACGAACAAAATTTATCAGTCTAAAGCCTCTATTATAAAGAGATGGACGAAGAACACTAGTTAAGAAACCAAAAATGGAATTAAATGAAGTAAGTGGGTGCTATTCATGAAAGAGTTGGATTGGATAGGGGAATTTTTGGCCCTATTGTATTGGATAATGAAATGGGTAAGGTATTGAACTTGTCCCAACTTTGGAACCTAGTAGGATTGGGTTTTATAGGTCATCTTCTCGAGTGTCGGACCATTTGCCCCAATCACTTCACTTGGGTATGTATGTATGGAGGAGAGGAAGTCGTTTTCCTCCTTGTCCTCAATGTTTTTGTTTTCTTACTTTGAATTTATCATTAGCACCACTTTCTCTACTCTGGCCGTTTGGTGTGGGAAGTAAGAATAGTCTAAAATGTTATTGTGTCTTTATCATGACTATATATAATGAAAAGTGTCATACCTTCTCAACAATAACACACGCTTTAAAACATGAAAAGGCAACTTTGTTGGTTGCAATGTTACATGTTCACGAGTTCTAATTGCTATCCATGCATATAAAAGAAAAGGCGTTCAGTGCCATTGCTATAACAACAAAATAAAGATGAAAATGAATGTTAGGTTGTGTGCGAAATCTGTAGTTGATTTGTGGCGCAAATATTATACAAGTGTCGAGAAAAGATAAAGTGATTAATGATTTTTTACGTACGTATATCATCCAATATGTGTGTATTTAGCCAATGACATGTTTGGTCTAACGATATTTAGTTTCTATTTTATTAAGAAAAACATGGATTAAACTATCAAAATATTAGTAATCTCAGTCCAAGTGTCGAGAGAAGACTAAAGTGTGACATTTGTTACATTAGAAAAACGCAATTAGATTTGTTCCATTTGGACTGATTTAGTTCATTATCTTTAAAAATCAACAAGTAATATAGTAAATAAAAAAATGAACAAGTAATATAGTAAAAAAAGTGAAACAATATTAGAAAATAGAACATACACGTCCCCACGCCAAACCGGAGAGGAATTCTTATACAACGAGGATAGTAGCTAATAACACAATGAGACGTGAGATAACTTTTTCACACGTTATTTTGTGCTATTCATGTTAGAAGAAATATATTTTTTTACCAATGGTCCCCAAATCTTGACCTGGCAACCAAATCACCTCCGTCCTTTTTTTTCTTTTCTTTTTTTCCTTACAAAGAATTACAGGTCCTTAGAGATTCCCGAAACCGACAAAGATCAACGTTACATAGCTCCAAATCATGACAGCACATCCAGACGCCCAAAATCAACGGCTCAGTTGAATTATTCGAGTCTCTCTTTCCACAGTGACCACTGATCGGAACTCACAGTAAAGCCACGTAGGCAAAGCACGAAGTGTCATAGCCCGCCACCGCAGCATGCTCCATGGCCCAGTAACCGGCTATTCCGGTCTCCCATTCCCCCCCCACCCGTTATATATTAAAACCCTCCATTATCACATCTCCGTGCTCTTCTCACTAACACACTCTCTCTCAGTCTGCCATTTTTCTCTCGAAGCTTCTTATCCAATCCGCTACCATGGGTAACGATTTTGATAATATTATCGGATTCCTTTTGATTTTCGTCCCATTTTTATTCGATTTAAACTATACGCGACCTTGAACTGATCTCAATTGTTTTTAATTTTTATTTTACAGGGAAGATCAAGATCGGAATCAACGGTATTTTCCATTTTCCCGCTTTTTTTTATTCTCTTCTCAATTTGATGCATCATGCATGGGGGATAATTTTTTTTATTTATGCTTTTGTATTATTTTTAAAAATTAGGATTTGGAAGGATCGGAAGGTTGGTGGCCAGAGTGGCTCTGCAGAGAGAAGATATTGAACTCGTCGCCATTAACGATCCTTTCATCACCGGCGACTACATGGTATCATGTTTTTTTTCTCTTTGAATGATCATGATCATGAAAAGATATTTGATCAGAGTTTTTAGCCGTCAGATTAGTTAATCAAGTATGGGTTCTGCTTTTGTGTCTTTGGTGGAACAGGTTTACATGTTCAACTATGACACTGTGCACGGTCGCTGGAAGCATAACGATGTCAAGCTTAGGGACGCAAACACCCTTCTCTTTGGTGACAAGCCCGTCTCTATTTTTGCTGTCAGGTATATTATGCAATCCGCGGATAAATTTTATATTCCATTTTACCAGTACTGATACAAGTAGAATACAAGAATTATTTCTTAAATAACTCTGCTTTTGCATCACTCTTTTTAGGAACCCAGATGAGATCCCATGGTCTGGGAGCGGAGCTGAATATGTTGTCGAGTCAACCGGTGTTTTCACCGATAAGGAAAAGGCTGCTGCCCATTTGAAGGTTTGCAACTTATATTTGGTTTCAACTTTGCTTGCTTAATTATGTTATGTGATATCTTCATAAGCTGTCATATCATAGTTTTCGTTGTTGGGATTGCTTTATTTTGTTTGAGTTTTTAATTCTTGGTTCTCAGTCTAGCTTCGATCTATGCTTCTGGGCTTTTTGAAGGATTGGACGTAATATGTTGTTAATTTTGCAACTTTGTGGAATTTGGATTGTGGTATTTTTAACCTACAGAATGTGATTGGTAGGTTATATCAGTGTCAAAATTGCATTTGTTTCCGGGTGGTTATGGTGGGGATAGCAAGTAATTCCTCAAGTTTATGATGAGCCTTCCGTGTTTACTCTCGAGTATTGAAGTAAGGAGTTGGTGCATGCTAGAAATTGGTTTGTTTGATGATTTATGATTGCTCGCCCAAACATGATTTCGGTGATTCTCTTATGTTTATCTGCCGTTTTCTTGGGTAAATGTATTGTGGTCATGTGTGGTTAGTTGCCTTAGTGTATTTTCTTTGTTCTACTATCAGGGTGGAGCGAAGAAGGTTATCATCTCAGCTCCCAGCAAAGACGCTCCTATGTTTGTTGTGGGTGTCAATGAGAAGGAATACAAGCCAGATCTTCATATTGTTTCCAATGCTAGTTGCACGACCAACTGCCTTGCTCCCCTTGCAAAGGTTCATATCTATCTGATTTTCTATGGTGGTGTGTAAGGCGTTAGTTGATGGTAGAGTTTGATGTCTTACAATAATATTCTTGTATTATTTTGTAGGTCATTCATGATAGGTTCGGTATTGTTGAGGGTCTGATGACCACCGTTCACTCCATTACTGGTGGGTTCTTTGTTGTAGTTTGCTTTCCAATTTTTCGGTTTTTCGTCCATGTTTCAAGTGTTCAGTTTGCTTTTCTTTTTTCTATGATTCAGCCACCCAAAAGACTGTCGATGGACCTTCTTCTAAGGATTGGAGAGGTGGAAGAGCTGCTTCATTCAACATCATTCCCAGCAGTACTGGAGCTGCAAAGGTAAAAAATGCATGTGATGGTTTTTTTAGACCCTCCCATATTTGATAATGGCCTTCTTTGTTTTTTGTTTCAATAGTTGACTAGTTCTCGACTGTTTGTACTCTTAGTTCTGTAACTCATTATGTATCTTGGCTTGCGAAGGCTGTTGGTAAAGTGCTGCCTGAACTGAACGGAAAATTGACGGGAATGTCTTTCCGTGTTCCTACTGTTGATGTCTCAGTTGTTGACCTTACCGTGAGGCTGGCAAAGTCAGCTACTTATGATGAAGTCAAAGCTGCCATCAAGTAAGAGTAGAGAACAGTTTTCTTGTTCATATTTTAGATAGTTCTTTGTTTAACCAATTTATTTTGCGGTCAGGAACTTATGGTAGATTACAAAATCTTATCAAAACTGTGTCTTGATAATGTTATCTGCTTGATTTTTTTGTTCTCTTTCACTTTCTAATATATTATATGGTTCACAGGGAGGAGTCTGAGGGAAAACTGAAGGGAATCTTGGGTTACACTGAAGATGACGTGGTTTCCACTGACTTTGTGGGGGACAGCAGGTACATGGGAATATGAATTAGTCCTTTAAATGACTGTCCATAATTTTGGAGATGAAATGGCCATACATTTGGGACGTGGGCCTTTCTGTAAGATATGGAAAAGAAAAAAAAAGGTTTCTGATAGTGATTGATAGAAGTTCTGTGTGGAATCCTTATCTTCATTGTTTTTCACACCTGTCAACTGCTGTGCCAGCCTTGTAATATAACACTAAAACGGAGGTGGTTTTTTCTTATGTTAATTGTGCAGGTCTAGTATTTTTGATGCGAAGGCTGGAATTGCTCTGAATGATAACTTCCACAAGTTGGTCTCATGGTACGACAATGAGTGGGGATACAGGTAATTAAACACCACCGTGTCTCAAATTCAGTCTCACATGACATCCTTCTCTAGATGATCTTCAACTTCAGCCCGGTGGCATCGTGTTTTATGCTCATATGTTTGGTAATTTTCTGTGTTCTCATGTTGTTTCCTTTGATGCTATTGCAGCTCCCGTGTTGTCGACTTGATTTCCTACATCGCATCTGTTGATCATGCTTAGGCAGCAAGACTATGACTGCATCTCTATCGGATGCAGTGTGTTACCGGAGTTATGCATATCGGTGTAGCCTTCATGTTAGTCGGTAGCAAAGGCAGTGTGCGAAAATAAGACGAATAACGCGGAATAGTGGTAGTTATTTGGGTTTCGGTGTGATCAGGATTCAGGGGTGGTGAGTTTCTCCCCATGTGTGTGTTTTAAAAGATGGACTTTGAGATTGTTCTGTGCCTGATTATGTTCTTCACTGTGTACCCATTGGCTCAGACTTTTTCATGTTTTATAACCCTCTCCCTCGCTCTCTCCCAGCCCCTCCAAAATCCAAAAGTAGACTCTTCCATTCTACATCAGAATTTCTTTTGTAAAAATGTTTAAACGAGTTTGAAACAAACACGACCTTCCCCCTAATTAAAAACAATTGACTTTTATATACACACACAGGAAGCAACACGTGAACAGAGTCTGGTAGTTAGTTACGACCCTATTCAATAACAGTTTATATTTAGAGTTACACGTTATGGGGACAAACCAACATCTTGTTTTGGGTCGCCCAAACACGATAGAGAGGATTGAATTCTGGGTGTCAGTTTACCCGTCAAACCTACTCACAAATATGTTTTCAAATGTTTGTTTCTTTTGAATTAGCTATAAGTCTCGTTTGGTGAATCGGCCTAGCTTGGACTTCTGTGTTTTAATTAAATTGAACTAGTATCACAGATGCGACTCATAACGACCAATTTGAAATTAGTTTAAAATGAATGAGACGTAAAACACTTTGAACAGTATAGTAGACAATGAATGTACTTCAATTCTCGGAAAAGGCTTTTTTGAAAAATCAATGATGTGATTTTGGGAAGTTTTTAGACGGAAGTTTGATGTAGAATTGTTTGGGAAAAAACGTTTTTCAGGAAAGTCTAGACTAGATACCTTCCCAATTCGACCAAAAGAAGAAGACTAAATACCTTCCCAATTCGACCAAAAAAAAAAAGACTAGATGCCTTCATTCAACACACGTGGTATAAAATAAATGAGAAAAACAAGAAGGGAAAGTATCTAGCATTCTTCTTTATGCATTTTGTTTCCTATTTGATTTTAGTTTGCTTCTCGGTAATTAAGATTTCCTTTTTATTTTTATTTACATACAATCGATATTGGGATAGGGGAATTTGAGCACAAGTACCTTGAGTACAAAGATAATTGTTTTTAACCATTTGAACTTCAAAGTCCCTGCTAATTAAGATTTCGGTTTTGACCTATAATTTTCACCATGAACTCGACAATTTTATATTAAGGTAATGTTAGTACCAAACAACCCAAAGAGTTAGAATTGTAAATTTCAAAACCGGCCAGTCAAAATAATTCAAGTGTGATTAAAAGGAGGTAGATCACCCTCAATTCTTCCGTTCAAATTTGCAAATAAAGGATTCAAACTATTTAAAAAAAAAAAAGTTGACTAATTCACAAGCAAATTGACAAGTGCAACAATCCGTCAAAATAGTAACAAAAAAAAGGCCGTCAAAATATTAAAATAAATATGTAAAAAAGGAAATATAAGAAGAAAAAGGCCCGTGAAGGAAGTATAAAAGATGGAAATTAATGCCCGGCCCAATCCACGTGTCTGCTTAACCCAAAGTCCGTATCATAACAGTTCCGTCATTCAAATTCTGCTTAATTTTCGATCTATCCGCCAATCTTCCCCTCCACATTAACCCCCTTTAAACCTCTCTCTCTATCTCTCTCTCTCTCTCTCTCTCTCTCTCACTCTCACATCACCTTCTCAGCTACCTCGTCAGCTCTCTCTTTCTATCTCTCTTTCTCTTTCTCCGTATCTGAAATCCATCGTTTTCTTTGACAATGCTCAAATTGCTTACCTTCAAACCCTAGACTTCACCTTCCATATATAAATCAATCTATTTTTATTATAATTTCTCTGTATCAAATTTCTTTGTTTTGTTCAATTTGTATCGCGAATGGCGACCTCGGCGTTCAAATCAACGACGAAGCGGACGCCGATCGGAGCATCCAAGTCTCCGGCCGAAGACTCGGATTCATCTAATCGGAAGTCGTCTCACCGGCGCTCTCGGAGCCTGAGCTGCTTCTCGCGCGGGTTACCGGAACGGACGCCGGCGGTTGAAAATTTAGATGACAATCCGGCTCCCAAAGGAAGGTTCGTGAACACGGTCAGAGGCTCGGGCTTCCCGGAGATCAGCCTCGACGACCTCGCCATCGAGCTCTTCGACGCCTCCGGCGACCGAGGCCGCTCGATTGCGCGTGGTTCCGAAGCTACACCTACTTCCAGCGCGTCGCAGAGACGAGGGAGGTCGGTTTCGAGGCACGGCTCGAGAGTGGGTGGTGGTGGTGATGTAAGGGGCAGTGCGAGTAATAATCCAGGTGGAGGAAGGGTAATTTCGGAAAGTAAGGGGAATTCGAGGCCAAGGCGATCGGTTTCTGTTGCTCGGTATCAGATGAGCGATTCCGAGGTGAGCATTGGTGTCTTTCTCCTTTTATTTTCCCTTTGCATTTAGATTTTTTTATAATTTGAATGCACATAGTTAAAAACGTTTGGATAATAGATACTATTGCTTTATGTGCTTAACAAATATGCTATTGCAAATTAGCATAACCTACTGCTCAGAGAACCTTGCAAACGACAATTTGAATGTTCAATGAAAGATCTTTTAGCCTCATTACATAGACTGTAATGCTATTCAACATTAGAGAGAATTGGGATTTATGACATTGATATAATATATTATTCCTGCACTGTTGAATTAAACGATCATGCTAGCTATGTCAGATTAGAGAAATTCTCCAACTCATTTATTTGTTGCTTTATTTTGTATTCGAAATGGCAGAGTGATCTAGACCACAGCCAGAATCACAGCACTGCTAAGTCAAAGAACTTAAGTAGTGCAAACAACCAGACACCCTTGTCCCGCAAGTCAACAGATTCAAATTATAGACAAGGATTGAGAAGATCTCTTAGCCAGAAAGATTTTAAGTGCCATGATGGTTACTCTGTAAGTCTTTCTCCATTTATTGTGGCCTATATTGTTTGAAATTTTGTCTATTATTATTTGACTTTGGTATCACTGAGTTGAAGTCTGGTATAAAAGAAGCTCCTGGACAGACAATTTCTGATGGTTGGGGTTGAACTTCTTGAACTTTGATATTTTCTTATTCTGTCATTTACTGTTTTCCCGTCAGAATAGTTTTCATAAGTGAACTATGTTTTGAGATGATTTATTTGGGCCTTTCAGAGCCAGTCTTCGGTTGTAACTGATGATGAGGGGAGGGATGCTTATTCCAGCAAAAATGGGGTTGAGAAGACTATCCGAGCTGTGTATTCAGAGAAGAAGGTATATTTTTAAAACATTATGTTATGAGAACCACCTCAGTTTAGTTCTTTTATCTTAGTCGTTTCTTTTTATTTTCTTGTCACCCCTTAGGCAGAGCACCCTGTTGGTAATGATGTTAAAAGTGGATTTTATGAAGCAATGCGGAAAGAACTTAGACATGCTGTGGAAGAGATTCGGACAGAACTTGAACTTGTCTGTATTATAGTGTTCTTACATCTTTGTTGCCGATTCATTTTATCTCTGTTCTGCTCCTGTCTTATGCTTCCTAAACTTGGTTCCTTTGTTATCTTTTTCAGGCAAATGGGAAAACTAAACCCACTGTTTCAGCAGCTGGTGATTTACGTTCTAACAGTAAAGATGTACTTCAGGCAGTTTCTTCAATCAGGAAGAATTACTCTTCCAAATTGGAACAGGTATTAATAATCTTTATTATTCTACTTTGCACCATTTGAAGAAGTTTGGCTACTGATTATCGGTTTTTACAGTCAGAAAAACGAAAACAAGATTTATTAGCTGAAATAGTACTGGAGGAACAACATAGTAGGGAGCTCTCTAAGATTGTCAAAGAATTGCTTCCTGAGCCAAACAACATTGTTGGTGCAGACAAACCATTACGAACCAGAAGGGTACCATACTGTCTGATATACGCTGCAGGATTTGCATGTTACTTTGTTTGTCGTAGAAATTATTATTATTATTATTTTTTCTGAGGGACTGGCAAGTTGATTCTGTGACTGCGTAATTAACTTCTGCATTTCACTTTTTCAGAGGAGTAATGACAGAGGTAGGGTTTCTAAGCGACTGACTGAGGAGGCAGAAAGATATATTGAGGACTTCATTTCAAATGTTGAAGACACAGATATATCATCGATTGATGGAGAAAGGAGTGATACAAGTTCGAGTATAGGCGGAATAACAAAGACCGAAACTTTTCAGAATCCAGCTATGTCGACTCCTCTTCCTGTTGCAATGGATGGGGTTGTACTGCCTTGGTTGCAGTGGGAGACTAGTAATGATGCTACTCCTATCGGATGCAAGAATAAGACTGAGCCCCCAGGGATCCCGAGAATTCTACCATGGGATAATAGTGCTCAGGTAATACACGCTTGTTAACCATGCTTGTTAGAGTACTTCATAGCTCATCTTTGGTTTATAAAGTCTAGCCCCTTTTGACTAGTATTGCATGCTTACTTTGTGAAGTTGATGACCTTACTATCATTATCTTCATTCATGGTTTTCTCTTCTTGTAATCTTGTCTCAATTTTCTTTAAAATTTGTTTTGCAGGGAGTGATCAGTGTGCAAGAGCAAAGTAATCAATCGTCTAGCAGCCGCGGAAGTTGGAGCCCTGGAATAATTGATGCCCTGTCAATTAACATCATGGAAGATGCAGGAAGTAAAACTGGAGGATCTGATAGTTACGAGTGCCAATCACGCCTCAGTGGATCAACCGGTTCGTGCTTTGACATGGAAGAGTATCTCCAGCTTAAGAAGAATGATGATTTGCTCTTAGAAAGGTTGAAGCAACAACAGAGAATTAGTTCCGGTGGTCTCCTGCTATGTAATCGAATGCTTTTTTAGCATAATTTGTTTCTCTCAGGATGCTTTCACTCCGTTGTAAACCACAGTAATAACTTTGTATAGAATTTTCATTTTGCTTTACTCAGTTGTTCAGGTAGCAATTGATTTCTAACCAATACAACGCTTGATTGCATCAGATAAACTACATAAAAGTGTTTTCAGTTTTGGATATAAAATTCCCCGAATTTTGCAATAGATCCAGAGTTTTTGTTACAAATGTTAGGAACAATCGCCCAAGTGATCAGTGTACGTAGGTTTTACGTACATTTAAGCGTGTGGGCAGCTGTCACGTACATTTAAGCGTGTGGACAGCTGCCGAAAGTTAACCTCTCCGGTGGTTGGCAACTCGCATTCTTGAATTCTTGAGAGAGGCACGTAAAGTGTACCAACAGGGGTTGACACCTCAGATTGTTCAATGCGTATGACTAGAAATAGATATAGATTTGCAACAAACACTTGGGTTAGGTCATGCATCTCATCTTCTAAAACAGTTTAGTTTCCGACTTTGTATCCTTTGAGGAAAGATCTTTGCCTAATAATTAATTATAATGCGGTCCTACATATTTCAAATCAAAATTCTCGATGGAAAAGGATTCTACAAAATTTAAATATTTTGGAACAAGAATTTCAGTCGCACAAGGACTCCATCAGAAGAACTTTCAGTAAAAATAAATCAAGATTAACCGAATTTGATGGTGTGTTTTTTACAGTAAAAATCAAAAGGTTAAAATCAGACCTTTCAAAAATATATGAGCAATCAATCAGACGGCTGAAATTTGTACAATCAATACGAAAGTCCAAATTAAGAAAGGAAACAAACTCAAGAGTCTCATTATCCAATTACGTATCTATCTCAATACGGAAAAAGGAGTTTATCTTGTGTTGTAACTTATATATAGCTGCCATTGTGAACTGAACTTGTGATATTTTAACCTGAAAAAGATGGAGCAAAGTCAAGAAACAAAAGATATCAATGACTGGCTTCCCATCACAAAATCAAGGAACGCAAACTGGTGGTACTCTGCTTTCCACAATGTCACTGCCATGGTTGGTGCTGGTGTGCTTGGCCTCCCCTATGCCATGTCTCAACTTGGATGGTAAGTAACCCACGCAAGCTTTCGTTATATTGTTTTCGTGTTCAATACGATGTTGTTTTGGGGTTTTTATTTTTATACAAATGATATTACCACTTGACCTGCAAGCTTTTTTGATAAGCGTTACGTGTTTATAAAGGGTATTATTAGTACCAAAAAGAAAATATTGAAGGATGATGCTTTTCCCAGCTAATGAATTACGTGTTTGTTGTCATATTCATGTATATAGAATTTCAGCATGATAAAATTATACATACTTTTACAGCAATTTACTGAATTGGATTTGGTGTATTATGGTTTTAAGCAACATGCTTTCGCTAATATGTTCAAGATGACGATATTAGGATGGGTTAAATAAACCACTTGACCTACAAGCTGCTTTGATAAGCGTTCCGGGTCTATAAAACATATTATTAGTACCAAAAAGAAAACATCGAAGGAAGATACTTTTCCCAGCTAATGAATTATGTGTTTGTTGTCATATTGATATGTAAAATTTCAGAATGATAGAATCATATGTATACTTTTATAGCATTTTACTGAATTGGGTTTGGTGTATTAGGGGCCCTGGAGTTGCTGTGCTGGTTCTTTCATGGATTATTACTCTGTACACCTTATGGCAGATGGTAGAGATGCATGAAATTGTGCCTGGGAAGAGGTTTGATAGGTACCATGAGTTGGGGCAGCATGCCTTTGGAGAAAAGCTTGGACTTTGGGTTGTGGTGCCCCAACAATTAATGGTTGAATGTGGAGTGTGCATAGTTTATATGATTACAGGTGGCACTTCCATCAAGAAGATTCATGATACTCTGTGCCCTAATTGCAAATCTATCAAAACCACCTACTTCATCATGATCTTTGCCTCTGTCCACTTTGTTCTCTCTCACCTCCCTAGCTTCAATTCCATAGCTGGTGTTTCTCTTGCTGCTGCTGTTATGTCCTTGAGGTACATATTTTTTTTAAAAAAAGATATAGGCAACTGCTTTTGCAAGTGCTTCTGTTAAAAGTGATTTTAGTTCATCAAACACTTTTATTAGGAGTGCTTTGTTGGAAACACATAAAGAAAATTATTAAAAAGCCAGAAAAACCTCTTAAATAGGCCCTAAGATTCATCAAGAGAGCTTGTTCCAAGTGTTCTAGTGTTAAATTATAAAGTTCAAATTCTGTCTCGCTACAAATTAATCTGCAGAATTTGGTTTTAGTCAATGTTGTTTTTAATTTTGAACTATTCCACAGCTACTCTACCATTGCTTGGACAACTTCTGTGCACAAAGGGGTTGATCCACAAGTGCAGTATGGTCCCAAGGCTTCAAGCACTGCAGGAAATGCGTTCAACTTCTTTAGTGCTTTGGGAAATGTAGCGTTTGCTTTTGCTGGGCACAACGTGGTTTTGGAGATTCAAGCAACAATTCCTTCTACACCAGAAAAGCCTTCCAAAAAACACATGTGGAAGGGTGTGTTTGTTGCTTATGTTGTGGTCGCATTGTGCTATTTCCCTGTTGCTCTGATCGGTTACTGGGTGTTTGGAAACAACGTCGAAGATAACATCCTCATATCATTGCAGAAGCCTCGTTGGCTTATAGCTGTTGCTAATTTCTTTGTTGTTATACATGTCATTGGAAGTTATCAGGTACAATACTTATTTAAATTTATCATCTGCATAAAAATTTGTTGATTTCTAGTCGTCTTCTACTTCTTCTCTTTCTTCTTCTGTTTTCTTCATGGATAACAAGTTTTGGTAATGCATTTATGTAGGTCTTTGCAATGCCAGTGTTTGACATGCTGGAATCATTTCTATTAACAAAGATGAAATTCAAGCCATCTATGTTGCTTCGCTTCCTAACACGAACCGCATTTGTTGGTAATTAGCATTTCCCCGTCTTAACTTATTTACTTAATCCCTGCGTTCTAACATTATTAGAGATGCGATCAACAACGTGATAGTTTTATTTATTAACCATTGATACTCATATTTCCGATTGCAGCATTCACCTTGTTCATCGGAATCACATTCCCTTTCTTTGGTGGGCTTCTCAGTTTCTTTGGAGGATTTGCTTTTGCTCCCACAACATACTTTGTAAGGAACCATAAATATATGATCATACTGCATTAGTTTCTTAAACAGCAAGAGGTCCTGCAATTCCCATGTAAATTAAAACATCTAAACTTTTCTTCTTTTTATTGTATTGCAGCTCCCTTGCGTCATGTGGCTTGTCATCTACAAACCAAAGAAGTTTGGCCTTTCTTGGTGGGCTAATTGGGTAAGCTCTCAAGAAATTGAAGTTCAACTTTTTTGTTTGCATGCCTTTTTTTCTTCGTTCCATTTTTACAGCTACTAATTTGATGCTGTTTTTTTTGTTTTTGGGTTTCAAATGATAGCTCTCCATCATAGTTGGAGTGTTATTGATGGTTTTATCTCCAATCGGCGCATTGAAGAACATCATAAGTCAAGCCAAGGATTTCAAATTCTACTCTTGATTGTTGACAAGTTGCAAGAAGGGAGAATCCAAGTTCAAATTTACATAGCAGATTTTTTGTAATTAGTTTATGACCGATGTGATGAGATAGGTTACAGCCATGGCTGATGGGTTAGCTATTATCCTTTTACTTGTTTTTAGGGTTTAGGGTTAGCTATTATCTCTCTGCATATCCTTTTACTTGTATTCAGCAGCATATATTCACAGCTTGCTTGTTTGCTGGATATGCACACAGAGAGAGAGAGAGAGAGAGAGACTCAATCTAAATGTCAGTCTATCTTTCAATTATTGGTTTTCAATCAGTTACTGGATTTTCCAAATATCAAATGCATGATCTAAAAATATAATACTATATTTATCATACTTATGTTCATATAGTCACTGTCATACATCAACTAAAGTTCACAAATTTTTGGTACTACTAGTGATATAGTCATGTGAACTTTCATGTAAAACGTGGTTAAATGCCTAAAATATGTGAGATTATCACAAATAGAAAATAATTGTATCATAAATCCTCCTACATATATATATACTCATGTAAACAACTGATCGTAGCATTCTTCTTGCATCGATATCTAAAACGATTAGCCAATGTAAGCCCCACTTATATAAGTGCACTTCTATTAAATAGATTGTTAACTGAAAAAATAGCATAATGAGATCATTTTTTTTTTCAAACTATTTAAAAATAAATAAATGAAGACAAAGAAAAATAATTAAATAATAGAAACAATAAAAAATAAATTACTTTATCCACTCAACAAATCCAAAAGAACAGTCTTTCACTCTGAGCTTCGACTCTCACATGCACTCCCTCCTCAGTCACTCTCACAGCAATGCAAGTCCTCCAAACCCCTCACCAATTCTTCACCTTCCCTAAAACCCTAAACCCTAACCCCAAACCCCACCCCAAGCAGCTCCACCACCACCTCCAATGGCGTCCTCTTAGCTTCTCCAAACCCAAGGCCTTTAGCTCAGACGAGTTCCCAGTGGACGAGACCTTCCTCGAGAACTTCGGACCAAAAGACAAAGAAACCGAAGACGAAGCCCGAAAGCGCAACTGGGTCGAGCGCGGGTGGGCCCCATGGGAGGAGGTCCTCACGCCCGAGGCCGATTTCGCGCGAAAAAGCTTGAACGAAGGCGAAGAAGTCGCTCTCCAATCCCCAGAGGCCATCGAAGCCTTCAAAATGCTCAGACCGAGTTACCGCAAGAAGAAAATGGAGGAAATGGGCCTAACCGAAGACGACTATTATCGCAAACAATTCGAGATCAAAGGCAACATACCGGAGCCGTTGAAGACGGTTTGGGCCGCGCCGCTGGTCGTCCGACACGTGCCACCGAGGGATTGGCCGCCGAGGGATTGGGAGGTTGATAAGAAGGAGCTAGAGTATATAAGAGAAGCGCATAAGTTGCAGGCAGTGAGGGTTGGATTGGATGAATTGGAGAGAGAGGCGACGACGGAGACTGATGATTTGTGTTTGGATAGGTATAAGGTGTTCTTGAAGCAGTACAAGGAATGGGTCGCTGCGAATAAGGATCGATTGGAAGAGGAGTCGTATAAGGTCTGCAAAGATTAAAGCTTTTTATCTCATTGCGTTTTTTGGTTATTTGTTTTTGTTAATTCGGTACCTATTTACATTATTTGTTTTTGAATTGCTTGGCTCAAGTTAGTCTCAAGCACATTTGCGTATAAAATTGGAAACTTGGTGAAAAAAATATTAATTGGAGTGAATTAATTCTTTAAGTTCGATAATTAGTAATTAGTTGAATTTGGCCATAAATTATGCTTCTTCTTTTCTTCAATGACATACAGTATGACCAAGATTACCATCCGGGTAGGAGGAAGAGAGGCAAGGACTACAAAGAGGGCATGGTATGATGGCTTTGTGATTTTTCGTTTTGTTCCCCCCTCCCCTACCCCTCCATTTTGGTTCTACTTGAATTACCCAAACATGTTGACATTGGTCTTCATTTTTCTGTGCAGTATGAACTTCCATTTTATTATCCCGGACAGGTAAGTAATTTACTTTATTTATAGCGTTTCTGGAAGTGAACATTTAAACCTCACCCAAAGAATGTTGAGATGATCATCCTTACAGAATAATTATGTTTCATTTACACGTAACATGCTATGTTGTATAGACCATTTTCATTATCAGATTCATTAGTCCAGGATTCTTAAAAGTAAGAACTGCACAGTGGAAATATAATGGTTGATGACACAGTGGAAAATGCTAATGCAGATTTGTGAAGGAAAAGTGACAGCTGTACATCTATATCAAGGAGCATTTGTGGACATTGGAGGTGTATATGATGGGTAATTATCATTTTTATGCTTGTCCTGTTTAGCGTTAGTGAAGTGTTTTTGTAACTGGACGTGCTATATTCATTGCTGGAAGTCTTATCTTCCACTTCCATTTTCAGCTAATATACAGTGACAATAAATTGGAAAGACAAAAAAATGTTTTTACAAGAGTAAGGATTTAAAAACTGGCATGTGTATTTCAATGCAAATTTTCCTGCTAGATTCATGTGTGTTGATGTCTGTCAGGTGGGTCCCTATAAAAAATAATGATTGGTACTGGATCCGTCATCACATAAAAGTTGGTATGCCTGTCATTGTTGAAATTCTGGTGAGTTCTGTGCTTCAGTTTCTCTATTTCTATTATTTATTTACTTCGTATCCTGTTTTTTCATGGCACAATTGCTACTTACTACTGCTGATTGAGCTTTGTTACATTTCTTGTGGGTTTTTCTTACTAAATTTTTCTATTGCAGGCAAAGCGAGATCCGTACCGTTTTCGGTTTCCTATTGAAATGCGTTTTGTCTATCCTAACATAGACCACTTGATGTATGTCTTTCTATACTCAGACTTACAGCTTTCCTCCACCTTCCAATTCTGTTTTGCCATGCTTCAAGGTTCAGATTCTCTTCAGTCTTATTTGCTTCTTAAAATCTAAATTTCTATCGACACTTCCAGATTCAACAGATTTGACTTTTCGCCAATATTTCATCGTGATGAGGATACTAATCCAGATGAATTGCGGGTGTGTGCTTTTCCTCTAACATTTCACTTTTTCTACCTTTCTCCTAGATCGATTATAACTTTAGTTTCTTACCTTCAGTCATCTTCTTACAGTTCAGCACTCTATGAGCATTTAGGTCTTAGTATTTATATCAGCACATGCTTATGCTTTTGATCTGGCTTGTTTCACTTTTTAGCGTGATTGTGGAAGACCTCCTGTACCCAGGAAGGATCCAAAAGACAAACCAGTAGAGGAACCTTTATTGTCAAATCACCCTTATGTTGATAAGGTAAATCTTTGATATCTGAAATGTTGTTATGTTGCCTTAAGTGTTTTTTTTTGTGTGCATGGAAATACTTTCTTTGTCTTGCCCTTCAATTTAATTTGACTTTCCACTTTGACCATTTAGCCATTTGACTTTCATTATTGTCTTGATGCAGTTGTGGCAGATACATGTTGCTGAACAGATGATTTTGAATGATTTGGAGGCTAATCCCGAGAAATACAAAGGCCAAAAACTATCAGAGTTGACTGATACTGAAGAGTTCAATGAAGAAAATAGTGTTGAATATACAAAAGCCTATTATAAGAAAATCTTGATACCAAAAGTGATTCTGGTGAGCATTTCTCCTGTGACATTGTATCTTGTTAGATGAATCTATGACATGGCATTTACTTACTGTTCTTCATATTTGTTTGCAGAAAACTAGCGTTAAAGAACTTGACTTGGAGGCTGCCTTTGCCGAGCGCGAGGTCAGCTGTTCCCCTGCCTGTCACATTTATATTCTTGTATTATCTTTGTTCAAGCACTGTATTGAATATTATCCATACTTTTTGTCTTTCTTTTTTTTCTTTGCAGTTTTTCTTTGATGGTTGATGTGAAGATGGGACTGTTGTGTCTTTTCTTTTATGAATATTGTCATGCACTGTCACACTTAATCTATCTGTTTCCGATACTTATGTTATGTGTCTTCCATCCATTTTCCACTTATTAAAATGCATTTGTCTGAATATTGATTCTTATATGCTATTGTTTATTCTAACTTAATATGAAATAAATGCCTGGCTCCCAAACAGTTTTTATAGTTTGGTCGCCATTGATGGTTTTAAAAATATATGGAGGTTCTGTAGGTTTGATATATAATATTTTCCGAAGTTTAAAATGCTGTGGCCAGCCAGCGATGTATTACCCTCAGATGTTGTGAGTACATGGGATGCATGTATTTGCTCTGACCATAATAATCTTAGCTGAGAAAAGAATGCTATCCCTTTTTGTGATTTGTTTTTATTATTTTCCTGCAGTTACGCAACAGACTAAGAAGGGAAGCAAAAGAGAGAGGAGAGGAATACAAAGTTACTAATATGAGACGTAATGATGAAATGGATGAGTATGACTTTTTACATTGGCGCAGATCCTTTGAGGAAAGAGAAGCTCTGATCAGAGACATAAGCTGGTATTTCCCTCTGTGTTCCTGTATCTTTTTAATTTATGTCAGAAATTTACAATCATTTAGGTTTTGGGTACTCCTCCATTGTGGATATTCAATATCAAATGTGTTTCTGATTTGACCCTCATGAAATTTCTTGTTTTATTTACTTTAAAGTGGGGAGTGAATTGTCCCGAAGTATTTAAATTACATAGTCAAACTTTAGCATAGAGGAACCAATGGTCGCCTCGCCTGTGATAAGGGGGTCAGTCACATTATCATGGTTTTGATTCCATAATATGATCAATGCAATTAGACTGGTAATCCTGCAATGTCGTGTGACTTTGCATCATATTAACTCTCTTCTGGGCTGCCCTATTATGATTTTGAATATCACTTTTGTTCTCTCACACAAACCATGCACACCCACACTGAAGCTGTATGCAATAACTGTTATGATTTTCTCTGCAGCCGCAAAGCTCTTGGTCTACCACTTGAAGAGCCAGGAAGGTATGTGGAATCCAGTTACTTTGGGAAGGATCAATATGACCCGGCAAACCCTCTGTATCGGTATGACTACTGGGGAGAACCAAAGAACTCAGAGAAGAGCAAGCAAGAGCGGCTGACAGATGCTCATAACAAAGCTATTGTGGGAAAGAGCACTGTTTGGTATGAAATGTCATATGACGATTGCATCAAGCAACGAATGCAAAGAGAAGCTAAGGGAATAAAACCAAGAGAAATCGATGAAGAAGATTCAAGCGGAGAAGATGATGATGATGATGATGACTTTGATTTCAGCTTCTTAAATGAAACCAACGTTGATTTGTCGGACCAGCCTCATGTTAATGGCACCGAATCTTCAAGAATTTCGGACGAAGGCATGTTTGAGGAAGAAGGTCTATAACTGGTACATGGCTACGGTGGAACAATGTTATCTGTACAGTAGTTGGTATAGAAGAGAGGAGCAGAGTTGCCCACGGCTAATCCCATTTTTGTTGCTAGGAGATATAGCATATATAATATATAGTTTCTCATTCTTGTGAGGAATTAGGTTGGGGTCCTGTTAAATGCTGTTCATCTCCGAAAACCCAAAATTTAAAATTACGGAAAATATAAAGGTCAAGGGGAAGAAACAACAACAAAAATTTATGTTGGGAATTACAAATATGTATCTTTTTCTTTGATGGATTCTTTAGTAGTTACTCGTAACCATTTGATAACTTTGAAGCAAGCCTATACTATTGGCTTAAGATTTTCTACCACCAGACAGAATAACAAAAGACTTCATATGCAAACCATATAAACGATGGGTTGGGATAATTATATACACAGCCTGAAAATTTCAGCTAGTACAGTAGAACGCTTTAGTATCATCCGGAGACGAAACCACTACACACAAATAATTTCTATCTTTTTTCTCTTACACTGTTCACAAGTGTCAGACTTTGATCTAGTTTTGGTTGTGGATCTTGAACTAATCTTGAACCTTACTAGTAGAAGTCGAACCTATCTTTGACTCGCCAACGTCTATCTCAATACCACGTTCTTCTATTAAGGCTTTGCGGAAATATTCACTATGATAACTATCACTCCCATCAAAAAGCGTTGTCTGCGTTTAAAAAAAAGAGAGAATCAGATTTTCATTCAAAATATAAATCCAGATCAGCCATGTTGAGCAACAAATAATAGCAATGCATCAATCACACCAAGCAAGCATTTTTTATTTTTTATTTGTAGTGAGTAGAATGCAGGTATGTACCTCAACGGCAAGCTTAACCCATAGCCGGCAGTAAGGATACTTAGGATAAACATACCCCTTGGATGAGGGGTCGTCATCCTTTGCAAATTCACTTGTGTGAAAATCTGAACGACGAACAACTATTGAACTCCGTATTTCACCAAAACCTCATCAGGGCAACTAAGACCTAATTCCATTAATATATAGCACATTATATTTGATTTCAATATTAGCTTGCTATTATATACAGATAGAGATATTGATCTCAAAAGCATGACCATATGAAAACCCCAATTTGGAATGTATAAGAGTGACAGGTATGAGAGTGACATATACAATAATGCGGCCAATAGCTTTACAAAGTGATTAAAAGATTTGCCTAAACCTAAAGGAGCGCTACATGTCCTTTCGATCAATTAAGCTTTGGTCATTTCTCTCAATTTATAACACCAACTGATGACAAAAATTGAAATAGCGAGAGTCGTTCTTTGAGAGAGATTTTCCTTGCCTGCTTCTTTTCATCCCGTTTTCGTTCTTTTGTGCAGGGGCGTTGGGCTTTTTCCTCTACACCCTATTGCCAGATTACCTCTCTTTTTCGTTCGCATTATTCTCAGGCAGGCTGTCTAGCGTGTGTTCATGTCCCTTCTCTTTCAGCTTGTGGCAGTTTCTAGAATTTGAAGGCACCCCTTTACCCACGTCTTGCTCAAGGGAAGTACTGGGATGAAGTAAGTTTATGTTATTATGATTTAGTACTCCAACCCTTCATGAAGTTGTGGATTCTGATACGTCCACACATGCCGTTTACGCTCTCTTAAATGCTCAATTAGCGACATATCTAAAAACGATGCTGGTACTGGTGCGACGGAGGAGGCTGGAGAAGGTTCTAGAAAAGCTTTCTGAGATATTCAGTGGGTTTCAAATCTTGTGTTGCTCCGCCATCTGGCTTCCCATTAAGACCACTGCCACCTTCAGGACTGATTTTCAGATCAGTTGTTGGCTTCCCATTATGACCACCACCTTCAAGACTGGTTTTCAGATCAGTTGTTGGCTTCCCGTTATTACCATCGCCACCGTTAGTTCCTTCACCGCTGGGTTTCAAAACTCTTCCATTTTCACGACCATTAAGAGGTGTGATGGCCCCATTTGAGCTCCCATTCTCGGGTTTCTTAGCATGTCCTTTGTCCTCGCCTCCTAGACCGGAGATGCTCTTGATGACCGGAACAAGTGGCACTTTTGGTGGAGCTGTTGGTCCCAGTTCAGTGCTCAAGTCAGCATTTGCTAACTGAACCCGCTCGCCTAACATTCTTCTACACTCTTGAATGGTCACTCGATAGCAAATGCCCACTTGAGCACCAAACTAGGACCAACGGTGCCGCCTGTTCCGGTCATCAAGAGCCACTCTGGCCCCGGAGGTGAGGACAAAGAACATGTTAAGAAACCCGAGAATGGGAGCTCAAATGGGGCCGTCGCACCTCCTAATGGTCGTGAAAATTGAGGAGTTTTGAAACCCAGCAGTGAAGAAACTAATGGTGGCGGTGGTAATAACGGGAAGCCAACAACTGATCTGAAAACCAGTCCTGAAGATGGCGGTGGTCATAATGGGAAGCCAACAATTGATCTGAAAACCAGTCCTAAAGGTGGCAGTGGTCCTAATGGGAAGCCAGATGGCGGAGCAACACAAGATTTGAAACCTATCAAATATCTCAAAAAGCTTTTCCAAAACCTTCTCGAGAATTCCACCTTCTCCAGCCCCCTCCGTCGCACCAGTACCAACACCGTTTCCTCATTAGATATGTCGCTAATAGAGAATCAAGCATTTAAGAAAGCGTAAACAGCATGTGTGGATGTATCGGAATCCACATCCACAACTTCATGAAGGGTTAAAGTACTGAATCATAATAACATAAACTTACTTCATCCCAGTACTTCCCTTGAGCAAGACGTGGGTAAAGGGGTGCCTTCAAATTCACAAACCTTATAGCATTAGAAACTGCCACCAGTTTTGGCTTCATTTTACAAAAACATAGTTAGACTAGTATTTCCATAAGCAACCAATGCTTTCAATCAAGAATAACTCTTCTGATTGAGCATTTACTCAGCTCTGCCCTAGCTCATTTTAAATTTAACACAAAACACCCAATTATAGTATAGTTACATTTCCACTTTCTGTATATATATAACTGACAGAGCATATTGAATTTGAAAGCATACCAGCCGTCCAAGGTGTTGACCGAGCCTGATATATATGCCTCCATTGCTGAAACATAATTCTTGAAGCTTACGTGCAGACCTGAGGTGAACTTCATGCTTAGCTTTTGCCCTCTCACTGCCTCCCTCAGGCAGTCCCCATAGTGAATACTCATAATCTAACCACAAGGAAATCTGGAACTCCATTCTAATCTGATTTTTCACTTAGATTTAATGAATCTGATGCAACTAACTACAAAACAACACAAACATTCACAATTAAGCTAAACCTCAGACTAGACCAACAAAAAAAAAAGATAAAAAAAAGATAAACCTCAGGCACTTAATGCTCGACTGAATGTAATGCTAAAACGACCATGTAACACGTATCATGAACCCTAAACGCTAAGATTGCGAGGAGTACAAGGCTTCTCACTGAGGCTAGAACTGAATCGGCAACATTGCACAGCATATAACTCAGGTCTCAAAGAATTACAAATACCGTGAAAGCACTTAACCCATTGTAAGAGCTCACCTGCAGTTCTGAACGGCCACTTCTGCTGCCCTGTATAACCAAATGATCAACAGCTGGGTCAATCACACAGCAAAGCAAGTTGCTACAATATGGAAGAAAACTATTCCAAGAAAAGCAATGGTGTACCTTCCACAGTTTAGCGTAGTTAGTTCTGGTCTCAAGATCCTTATACATACCAGGTCTAGAAGTATAAACTGTGGTTTTTTCTTGCCTGTACATGTGAAGGTTGGGAAAAACTATTTCAGTTGGGTAAGGCCTACATAATGTTCCACATAGTAAAAGAAAGCTCACGGGCACAATATCCACCAACTGTATGAGTACGACAGAGATGTAATACACTTCCACAGTCAACATCATATTCTACATGGACTTCTGAAATAATATTTCTCAGGGTTTAGAGAACATAGAGACTTGAATTTTCAACTACTTATGACCTGGCTATATTGTGCTTCATTATTATGACCACAAAGTGCATCTACTTATGACAAACTATCACTATCACAGTAAGTAACCCCAAATATGATTGGAATCACACAAATACTACCAAACAAGTTTTCAGCAGTATTATAGTCATCATCGTGATTCAGATGATAAAGATATCATGAAAGAAAATATGCTCACTCACTCTCAGAAAAGTGCAGTGGGTATTATAATCACATAAGAGCTAGGCAATGGTTTACATTAGGTTGCGGTTACTAAAAATTAAAACCAAAATAACATTACTGTATAAATTTTCAAATGATAACCTCAACAACACAGGAGAGTCTCACCTAGAATGCTCTTGCCGCTATAAGGAAGAGGTCGGACTAACAAGTTGGCAGCATGTGGGTCACAATGCACAAACCCGTGTTTGAACATCATTTCTGCAAAAGTTTCACTAAATTGCATGAAGTACATTAAATCTTAGTTTCTTTTCTTGCCCAACTTGGTCATATTATATCCTCACAAAGAAATTGAAGCATAAACAATGAAAACATAAAGGGGCACAGGAGTCCAAAACCAGCCTTTACTGAGGGTCTATCTATTTTTTCAGCTTCAACCTTCAACCGCAGACCCAAGGGTTCAGGCAAAAGGGAAAAAGAAAAACATAGACGCAATGTTGTGGTTCCAATGTCCTAATATCCTTCATTCATTTTGCAAAGTTAAATCAATTTGCACTATTATATAATCGACTACTGTAGTCAACAAATGATGAAGGGGATCTTTGAGAAGCAAATGTAATTCTGAATGGAGACCAGTCCAATTTTTTTTAAAACATGATTATCAAAATATAGATTATCAGAATTTGATATGAAGCTCATGGACTTACTAATCTTGCAACTTCATCAGGTCGAATTCCAAGTCTTCTGATGGTCTTAGATTCCAATAGACCTTGGTGCATATACATAAGCTGCAATATGAGTAGAAAGCTACTGAAAATTTTCCAAGCATTTCTCACTGTTCTTGGCCTCATTTATGAAATCTAGTTCCTGATTGCCACAATAACATATGACCAAATGACATGTGTAGTGATAGAAAACTACTTCATATCTTAAGATGAGGTCCAAAGTCCCCATGTTTTTTTCTATCACGGGCACATTACGAAGAAAAAAAAAGCATTTTGTGCCACAAAAACTTGTGAACATATAAACATTTTAGACTAATTGACATATAATGTGGACAGATCTCTACAAATTTACAGAGAAGCCCATCAAGGGTGAGACATTTAAGCAACTTGCCCTTGGTAAACTTTCACGCATCTCATCAATCAACCACCTCTTCATGAAAGTAAGAATGAAAAAACAGCAACGATTACCACAGAACTACCTGTAATCTAAAGAAGGGAATCACTGATATTGGAATAGGATCAAATTCAGCAAAAATCTGCTAATGTAACCACAAAGAAATTTGAAACTCCATTACAATCTAAGCAGTTTCACTTAAGTTTCATGAATCTGATGCAACTAACTTCAAAACAACACAAAAATTCACAATTAAGCTAAAGGTAAGGCTAAGGCACTTAATGCTTGACTGAATGTAACGCTAAAACGACCACATACCATGAACCTGTCAGAATACCGAAGGCAATGTCATGGCGTCTCGACTAAGGCCCGGGTTAACAGTTGTGTAGAGTCATGGCAGGGTCATCGGAGGTGACGACGGTCGCCGACAGAAAGAGCTTCGTTCGAGCTCCCCGATGCTGTATTGCTATAATCCACGGTTTGGTTTGGTTGATTTTGGTAATGCCACCATTTGGGATGGCCAAAGTCATTCCAGTGATTACAATTTAAATCAATTAAAGCAAAAGCAGAGTGTAATTATAGTCTCTCCTCTAGAAAAAAAGGGAAAATACAAATTTTTGTGACTGACTCACTCATTTTACACTATTCTCCATGTTCGACAAAAAAAAAAGACCGATTACACTAACTCTTCATTCTTCCTAACCTTTTTTTTTTTTTTTCATTTTTAAAATTCTTCCATGACTTAACCTCCAAATATCTCATGAAACTTTTCCAAAAGCTTCTCAAGAATTCCACCTTCTCCAACCCCCTCCGTCGCACCAGCACTGTTTCCTCCTTCATCACCAGCAACTCCACCATCCGGCTCCCCATTACTAGGACCACTGCCACCTTCAGAATGCTTCCCATTATGACCGCCGCCGCCACCATTAGCTCCATCACGGCTGGGTTTCACAACACCTCCATTCTCACGACCATTACCATTCTTGGGTTTCTTAGCATGCTCTTTGTCCTCACCTCGGGGGCTAGAGCGGCTCTTGATGACGGGAACATGAGGCACCTTTGGTGGAGCCGTTGGTCTTGATCCTAGTTCGATGCTCAAGTCTGGCTGAACCCGCTCCTCAAATAGTCTTTTACACTATTTAAGGGTCCACTGCTATGAATCCACATCCCTTGGGTCTGCTCCACTTGGCATCTTCGTTTTCTGTAATTGCAAGCAGTGTTTCCTTGAGTTCTCTCTTGAAAAAAGATCGGAAAAGTCCTAAGGCAGTGATGCTGGAGTTAAATGTGGGAACAATCCTCTCTTTATCCATACCACCATTGACATGGTTCTCACCGGAGTTATCGGTCTCATTGGAGCTGCTCACGACACTGACACCGATCCTTTTGAGATCAGCCGGATTCATTTTAGCAATTATTACGCCGACTTGTTGATTGGGACAAGCTACATACTGGATTTTCATGGCGTTGATTTTTGCTGCATTTTGCAGCCATTTTGCAGAGGTGGACTTCCTGAAGAAAGATGACATTTTCAGAGACGAAGAAATATGGACGGTTCACTTCGAGGGTGATATAAAGAATTTAATAATCGCAGGGTAAGAGTGAAAACCACGAGATATTGCTGTCAATAAATATACCCATCTTCTCCGTCTCTGTAGCATTCCCATCTTCTTCGTCTCTATAGCATTCCTCCATCTTCTTCATCTCTGTAGCATTCCCATCTTCTTCGTCTTTGTAGTCCCATCTTCTTCGTCTCTATAGCATTCCCATATCTTCTTCGTCTCAGTAGCATTCCCATCTTCTTCGTTTCTGAAAATGTCATCTTTCTTCAGGAAGTCCACCTCTGCAAAATGGCTGCAATATGCAGCAAAAATCAACGCCATGAAAATCAAGTATGTAGCTTGTCTCAATCCACAAGTTAGCGTAATAATTGCTAAAATGAATCTGGCTAATCTCAAAAGGATCGATGTCAGTGTCGTGAGCAGCTCCAATGAGACCGATAGCTCCGGTGAGAACCATGTCAATGGTGCTATGGAGAAAGAGAGGATTGTCCCCACATTCAACTCCAGCATCACTGCCTTATGACTTTTCCGATCCTTTTTCAAGAGAGAATTCAAGGAAACACTACTTACAATTGCTGAAAACAAAGATGCCAAGTGGAGCAGACCCAAGGGATGTGGATTCACAGCAGCGGACCCTTCAAGAGTGTAAAAGACTGTTAGAGGAGCGGGTTCAGCTAGACTTGAGCACCGAACTGGGACCAAGACCAACGGCTCCACCAAATGTGCCTCATGTTCCCGTCATCAAGAGCCGCTCCAGCCCCGGAGGCTAGGACAAAGAGCATGCTAAGAAACCCGAGAATGGTAATGGTCGTTAGAATGGAGGTGTTGTAAAACCCAGCCGTGAATGAGCTAACGGTGGCTGCGGCAGTCATAATGGGAAGCATTTTGAAGGTGGCAATGGTCCTAGTAATGGGAAGCCGGATGGTGGAGTTGCTGGTGATGAAAGGGGAAACGGTGCTGGTGTGATGAAGGGGGCTGGAGAAGTGGAATTCTTGAGAAGCTTTTGGAATAGCTTCATGAGATATTTGGAGGTTAAGTCATGGAAGAATTTTAAAAATGGAAAAGAAAAAAAAAGGTTAGGAAGAATGAAGAGTTAGTGTAATCGGTCTTTTTTTTTTGTCGAACATGGAGAATAGTGTAAAATGAGTGAGTCAGTCAAATGATTTAAATTGTAATAACTGGAATGACTTGGGTCATCCCCAATGGTGGCATTACCAAAATCAACCAAACCAAACTGCGGATTATAGCAAAATATTGCTATAGAGTGGAGCAACTTTTGTTCTTGGACCTATCCCAAAAAGTCGACGGAAATGGCCGGAATCGGAGGCCGAAAACCGGCCAAACTTCCATCGCTTATGTGATTTGCTAAACGCAGAAATTTCTCAAAACTAACACAACCAGCATATAGAACACGTCGAGAGGTTGAAAAATCATACCCGGATCGTCGGAAATGGTGGCCGGAATCACTCGAAACGAGCTTGAGAAAATCTGTCAAAACTGTCAAAAATCCGGTCTGTTTCGGGGCTGTTTCCGGCCACCACGACGGCGGATCGAGCCTAGGACCGGTCGGAAATCGAAAAGGGAAGTGAGGCGGTTCTAACGGGACTGGTGCCGCCCCAAATGGCGGCTTGTGGTGGCGGTGGCGACTGTGGGAAGTTGCTGCCGTCGCAAGCCAAAAAGGGGGGGAGGTGTCTGGTTCGAGGGAGAGAGAGAAATCAGATATTTAAAACCATTTTCGCAAAAATTACGATTTTGCCACTGACCTTGTTTTGATCGTAACTTCTTCGTTACAACTCCGATTCGAGCCCACTACATGTCTACAAACTCATCTCGGTACGATCTACGTAAAGGTACTAGCCACTGCCCAGAAATCCTTCCAGATTTAAAATGACCAAATTACCCCTACTCTCGAGGGCAAAATTGGAAATTCAAATTCAATTAAATTAATTTAATTCAAGAAGGATTATATTTTGGGTTGGTATGTTACATTTGCCTAAACCCAAAGTGATTAAAAGCAAGGATTGAAATATCGGCCGATACACCTATATATCTGCCGATATATCGGTATTTTCAAATGTCGACACCGATACTGGGGGGTAAGGCCATATCTTCCCCTGTATCGACGATATATCCCCGATAAGTGCGATATTCCCGATATTTTGCCGATATCCCCGATATTTCCCGATACCCATAACTGAACCCAAAAAAAAGTCAAAAGTTTTGAAGGCAATTGAAGCAAATTGAAACCTAAAAATAGCTAATCCTTGCTCAAAACCCTATAATTTATTAATATGAAGAATCTATGCACAGTCAACTACCCACATATCTCCCATCCATCTGAAGAGGACATGGCGTTTAGTTTTGGATCTATGAGCATAGGAACTAGACCTAGTATTAACTCAAATGAATCTTATGATGTCTATGTCTATGTTTATGTCATGTCAAATTATAGTGGAACTAGTAATGAAACTCAAGATGATAAAAAAAATTATGGACCTACTAGTTAGTTAATCCTAACTATCCCATATATGGGAGGACAATAGGGAGCTCAAGAGAGACCTATGTGCACTATGTTCAAACATGACTTACAAACTGATCGGGTTACATGACTTGGTATGACTATTGTATGAATCTAGATGGTTGTTCCTCATTGTTTGAACCTCATTGAAGCTCTTCATTTATGTAAATTGACATTTATCTAAATTGTAATACAATGTTTAAACAAACTATGGATTTATGCATGGTTTATTCATTCTAATTAACATTTTATTTTCAAACTTTTCATTAATGCGCATTACATACCACTTATATTTCATCATATGTATATCTTATTATTAGTAAATTTTGAGTTTTATTTGGTCAATACATTCATTGATAATGTACATAACATCTATGAAAGTTTTACACAAAAATTATGTGTTTCAATGCCTATATCTGTCATTTTTGTTGATTTTTTCCCGAAACCTAAAACGATAACGATATATCCCCCGAAATATCCGTAAATTGGAGGCCCGATATTATCTACACGGCCGATATTTTAATCTTTGGTTAAAAGCAAGCCTATAGGCTTCAGATTTTCTACCTCCACACTGAAAATTTGAATTAGTAAAGTAGAACACTTTAGTATCATCTGGAGACTGAAACCACTACACAAAAATAATTCCTATCAAGTCCTTTTTTCTCTTACACTGTTCACAAGTGTCACAGAATATATTTTAACAACCTTTGCTAAACGAAAATATATATATATATATATATATATATTATCCTTCTACTCTTCTTTCAATTTGAAACTAGAAGCCGGTCAAGAATGGAATATAAAGAAAAGCCTCTCTTCGTTTAAAACTTTCTGTAAGATGAAGCGTCATTTGAAACCTTCTGTAAGATGAAGCTCGTTGGGGTGCGGGACTTGGCCTCTCACATCACCATCCCTCCATCAATGGTTAATACCTACAATGGCCCAGTGCAAAACTTGACAGCTCAAATGGTGCCATTTCCCATTTGTCCAAGGAAAAATTATCAGATTTCTAATAAAATTTACCTGTCCAGTAATGTAACTGGCAGCGGGATTGAGCGCTAAGAATTCCACCAGTCCTGCGACTTCTTCAGGTTGACCATATCGCCCTGAAATAATTATAAAACTGATTTATTTTCTCTTATTTATATGTGAGTCTTCAAATATCAGGCTTTAAGTTTAGGCAAACCAGGGAAGAAGAATTAGAGAATCAATCAAATTTCAATCATCTCAATCCAAAGACTCAATAACATTTATATCTCTCATCTAAGTTATATAACCAACACCAGCAGTTTCTCAATAATTCACATTAACTACGATAGGTTTGATAATAATGCTTAAAGAACTAGTAGCCAACTGACTATTCTCACCTAGGGGGATGGTTCCCAAGATCTTCTTTTCTATGTCTTCTCCAAGCTTGGCAGTCATATCAGATGCAATAAAACCAGGTGCTACAGCATTGACCTATGGAAAAAAGAAAGCTTTAGATGGATAATTGCTTTAGGCCCACCACGTAAGACTGGAAATATGCAAGAAATTTAGAAATATATCTGCTTGAATGTTTAATGTCATCAAACAAACCACATAGCCATTGCTAAGTGTGGAGTGGGGTTACATGTAATAGCAGGCAAGCCCCACACACCGAAAACAGATAATTAAATTAATTAATTAAAAACCTTGAATCACATGCACATACATTAATGCTCCTGCTTGAATATTCCTTTGCGACACTCTTCGTAAAGCCAATTACTCCTGCCTTTGCAGCACTGTAGTTGGCTTGTCCAACATTGCCAACAAGACCAACAACAGATGCTATATTGATTATTCTTCCCTGAAATATGATGAACAGACTAAGGATCTAGAAGCAAAATAGGATTTTCACATTGACATAATACAAGAAAGGAAGACAGAATTTGATTACCTTTCTCTGTTTCATCATAACTTTAGCTGCAGCATGCAAAAAGCACGAACCATGCTAAAAAGATCAGACAATTCTAAGCTTGAACAACTACAATTACTAGATCAACATATGCCCTAAACTACACACCTGTGTGCACAGAAACACGCCAGTAAGATTCAAATCAATAACCTCCTGCCATTGGGATGTTTTCATTCTCATCAACAAGCCATCCCGTGTTATTCCTGAAAAGGACTGTGTCAGTTGAAATAGAAAGGAAAGTCAAGATAAGAAGCTTAAATACAAGAAGTAATATGATGCTGACCAGCATTATTAACCAACACATCAACTGTTCCCCATGCATCAACCACCTATATTCATTTGATTGAAAAGATGTCACGTTGCAAGCGATAATTGCAACCACACAAAATAAATGTAGTTAGCATAAAAGAGCGCATTTGCTTACAGTTTTAATCATTGCCGCTACATCTTCTTCCTTTGAAACATCACCCCCAAATGTCAGAGCTTGACCACCAGATGCCTCAATCTGCAGCATTTAAACCGCAAAAAACATGTTTAAAATGCGGGATATATTTAAAACCAAATATATGCATTGCACGAAGGCCATTATTTTAACAACAAAAGGTACCTCCTTGGAAACTAATTCAGCTTCCTCAGATGACCTTGCGTAGTTTACCAGAACCTGTAACAGTGAAATGAAGCCTATGGTCATGACTCATCGAAGAAAGCAATTGAATGATGAATGATGATGATGACCTTACAACCAGACTTGCCGAGAGCTAGCGCAACAGCTTTGCAAATTCCTCTAGAAGCTCCAGTGACGATAACCACAGGAGCCTCCACGTTCTAAGCTACAGCAGCGCTTGATTGCTCGACGGCCGCCACCTGCGCCCTAATTCCTGCTATTTGATTACATTTCCATTAAAACATCACCAAATTGTTCTGATGTAAACTTCAATTTACCGAAACAAGAAAATGCGATTCATTTAACACAGCCAGAGGAGGAGGATGAGGAGCCCGAAAATCGGGTCGGGGCAACGCGACGCAGTCGGATCCCGCCGAGAAGTGGATAGGAGCTTCGTGGGTGAGATAATTGGCGGCAGAGTCGTACCGTAGCTCCAACGGCGTTGAAGGCGATCGTGGCCGGCATTGAAAGTCTGAGAATGGCTGGTGTCACAGACGAAGAAGAGGAGGAGGAAGAGAGAGAGGCAAGTAAGGTCGCCAGAAGATCAATTTATCAGACTGAGAACTGAGGAAGAACGTGAAGAAGATGGGTGTGTAATCTCAGGCCTCGTTTGGTGCGCTGGACTGAATTGGACAACTCCAATTAAAATGGACATGGGTCCAGTCTATTGTTTGGTAGGCTTTAGTGAATCACAGATTGGTTAGGAAGCAATTTTTGTTTAGGACATGGTGAGACATGGGTTTCGAAGCCGCTATCGTCGTCTGCTCTTCTTCTCCTCTTCTCTTTCTCTTTTTCTTCTTTTATTTCTTCACTCCGAGGAACGACGCCTTCGCCTGAGACTCCAGCAACACCGATGAACGACGCCATCGCCTGAGACTCCAGCAACACCGATAAACGACGTCATTGCCTCCGACTCCATCAACACCGATGAACGACAAGGTAAGGAGAAACAAACCCATCTCAATTTGGTGGGTGTCCAGTACCCAACTACTGTGTGGGTTTTTGTTTTGTTTGGTTTTGTTTTTTGTAATTTTTGTTACATTAAGTATGAAATTGTCTGTGTGCTTTTGATTTGTCAGCTTTATATGTTTTGATATCTCAGTTTTTTTGTGGTTGTTGTTTCAATATGATCTGGTTCTGTATTTACATTCTAGGTGGAACGAGTTTTCAGAGATCTTAGATTCTCTTTAACCATTTGAATTGGAAACTCTAGTTTTTGACTTTGCATGATGTGTCAGCATTTGGATATATTTTCCAATTTCCATGCTTTTGGTTGATTGATAGAAGAATGGCCTACAAAATAGTTGCCCAAAACCTATTCCAGTTGCCTTTGGTTGATTGAGAGAGAAGAATGAACTACATGTAATCTGTGTTCAGGTCTTTGTTTTTGTTGGTTGTAGGGAAGAGGGAAAGGAAGGCCAAAATGCTCAATGAATTTGAAAGCATTTGTAACCCTTTAAATCTTATGTGATCGTGACCAAGTTTTAGGAACTCTGTTTTTCTTGGAATTCATTAATGAAACCTCTTGTTTCTGATACTGTCTGAGCAGTATGTATTATGCCATTTGAGGCGTTTTGTGTTGATGGGTTGTTTTATGAATGCTTTGAAGAAAGGATTATCTTTTTATTTTTGTTTGCTTTTCTCAAGCATAATTTCCACTCTTTATCCCATGCCCCTTTTGCCTTTAATAGCAACTTTCTTTACTGTGATGTTTGGTATTTAATTAGTAGAGCTTGTCAATGCAAGTGTGCTTGAATCTTTGATGGTTAACAAAAATAGAAAAATGAAAAGAAGAAAGCTTGGATGAGTTGGTCAGTTTTGATAGTTTTTGATCAGTTGTAATTAGTAATTGATTTTGTTGTCATATTGGATTGCCACGTTGGTTTTGCTTTTAATCTTATCTTTGACTGCTCTAATCGGAATGGAGAGAAGGATGTGCACCCTTGAACCACTCGGGATCAAGACTGTAAATCGAGTTGAGGCACTTACAAATTCATGAACTAAAATATGACAGTTCTATAGAATGATTTGCAATCATATAGGACTTCAATTGTACAATGAAACTAATACATGACAACCAAGTTTTAACACATTTTATACATTAGGCCCTGGCACCATGCTTCCTTGAATGTTGTTGGGTTTAAAGACTTCTGAATGTTCTTGACTGCATTATGTTAGAAAATTGATTTCTTGTTCCTTTTCTCCCAAGTTTATTGTGTGGTTCTCATATTGCTCATTTCTGATGTTTAGTTTTTGGTTATTTTAGCTGTTCGGAAAAAAGTATATTTTTCATACCTTATTCTTATAATTTGCAGACAAAGCCACAAGTCATTTTTTGAGAAGTCAGATTTATTTTTTGTGTGCATGATGCAACACCTCTCCTTTGATATCCAAAAGCAGGATCAAGAGATAGAAGCAGCCCAGGTAATTTTTGGTTAAGGGATGGTAATACGACTAGGAGGAATTGCCAGAAACTCATTTAGTTAAGAATCCAAAATGTGTATAGATCTTCAAGTCCTTATGATCATTTTTTTTCCTGTTTTCCCGTGTAAAGCCCTTGAAGTTTATTCTATATTGACACGCTTGTTTGCAATGGCTTGCAGTGGATGGCATTTGAGGAATATGCAGCCCAACAATTTGTCCAGAAAAACGAATTTGGCTACTGAGATGTTTAATGAGTGGATGGAGGGATAATTTTTCTACTGAGATGTTTAATGAGTGGATGGCAAATAGAGCAACATAACATAAGTATTTGTTGATTATTTGAATGCACTCAAAAAAAATTTCGTGTTATTATTAATTTTGTCAATTTTTGGACTATTTTTATGGTATCTTCATGTGATTTATTATTTTTAATTTTGTGTACATGGTTTTTTTATTAAATTTAATTATTTCTGATATTAAATAATTTAATCAACATTAAAATAAAATAAAAAATTACGTCCAATGCAGTCCAGGCCATACTTGTACCAAACAACTGACTAGACTTTAGTTCAGGGCAATCTAGCCCAACTTAATGTAGACTTTAGTCCAGAGGCAATCTAGCCCAACTTAATGTACCAAACAACTTATTAGAGTTCAATCCAATCCAAGCCAAATCAGGCCAACACTCCAAGTCCAATCCTAACCAGTCCAGTTCAACCCACTAAACAAGGCATCAGGGGTTTTAGCGTATCTATAAAAATACATATTGTGTACAAAACGCTAAACACGACGTGTCGTTTGAGCCAAGAACCAAATGACATTGGTTTGCACATTCATTTGTAAAATAACCAAAAAAGTTCCTTTTCGATAATCAATATTTTCTAGATCATCCTTTGCCTTTTTCTATTTTTTTTTCTTTTAAAGAACAACGATAATGTCAACAGGGTCTAAGCTAGTGAAAAACGGCTTTGACTTACAAATTAGAGGTCTAATATTCAAACCTCCATGACATCATAGTTGTGTATCAAAAATCCCCTCCCTTATAGTTGAGACTATGGCTTGTACTTAGTTTAGACTATCAATTGTATTTTAAAAAACGATTATAATGCTCAATTGGTTTGCTAATTTGAATATAAATTTCTCTCAAATTGGAAAATTAAAAATCCAAAATTTAAAGAACAAAAAGAAAAAGAGCAACTATAATTTATGAAGTGAAATGCTTAAAATTTAAACCAGCAGCTTTGATGCTATTTAGCCAAAAGTAAAATCATATCAGAAAGACAGAACACAAATGTTCCAACTGTTTTTCTAATATCCAATCTGTCATTATTCCTAAAACTCCAATAGAAGACATCTTTTTTTCCCAGGAAAAATGGGTAGAATGCCATAATAGTCTGAGGACTGATATTTTACAATTCTAAAAGCCGACCTTTTCTACCACCTAAAATTAACGCTTTTTACAGACAAAAATTGGATTTTTCCTTCTTTCATCAAAAACCCACAGCACATCATCATCCACCATGGGCAAAATTGATTTGAATGGGGTTTACCTCCCCAGATGTCCACTCCATTTCCCAAAATGAAAATAAAAAAATCATTTCAAAGAACACAAGCCCAAAACCCAAAACCCAATCCATAACTCATCTTCTCCAGCTACTTCTTCTTCTTCCCTCTTTTCAGGCTTAACAGCTAAACCTCAAACAGGAAAGAGATAATATTATGGTCCACAAAGAAATACCTCAGGACCATCATTTTCCATTTTTGCTTCTCAGTCGGTACAAGAACATGAACAAAAAATCTCATCAATCAATCTCTCCTTCTTCGAAGTCATTTGCTTCAATGGCATCATTTGCTTCAATGGCATCATTTGCTGCTTCTGGTTCGGGTTTAGGTTCGAGTTCTGGTTCGGGTTCGGGTTCTGGTTCTGGAGCACTCTGGGGAGGTTCGATTTCTTCTTCCTCTATATCATCATCCGCCTTCATGAACAAACCAAGTTGCTCCAAGGGATTACTACTTCCCTGTAGCTTGTAACTACCCAGTCTGACAAGCTCATTCTGAGAATGCTCTGGGCTAGTCTCCTCCGTGAAATTTGGCAAATGTTCATCATCAACAGCCCTAAACATTTCTAGATCTTCCATAAACTGACTATTCTCAATTTCAACAGTCTTTTCCATCTGCATAAAGCCAGATATTCATCAGCTGCCGTTTAATTAAGAGAAGGTTGTAGAATGCTTCCACCAACCTAATAATACATCCACCCTTACCATTTGCAATGCCTGACGTGCAGCTTCTCTCTCTAGTTCCCTCTGCCTTTTAGCTTCGGCTGCAGCGTCTGCTTCAGCCTTCTTTCGAGCCTCTTCTGCAGCTTTGGCCTCAGCTTGTAAACGTGCTTTCTCTAATGACACACAAGAAAATTTGAATATTTTAATCGACTGCAAAACTAATCGACACATTGACTTCTACTGCACAAAATGGCACATCTTATCTCAGATAAATCACATTTTGAAAGCCAAACCTTCTTTTTGCCGCTTTTCAAGTTCCTCTCTTTCAATTCGCAATTTTTCTGGATCCAGCTTTTCACCCTGAACCACAAATATCAGATGAACTGACCACATCTCAAAATGCAAAATGCAGCCAAATGCAAAGAAGATTTTGGATGGGCACATCAGGGAAAATGCATAGTAGGTTACCCAATGTGGCAAGTGGAAACCGACCTTTTCTAGTGCCTTTTCTCGGGCTTTTAGTATTGTGTCAGCAAATCTATTCCGCAATAAAGCTGCACGGTAGAGCTTATCGGGGGAGACTTGCCTCTCAGATGGAGCACTCTCCCCTACGAGGTTACAGCATGAATTGTAAGATTGTACCCCAAAATTAAGAGCAGACAATTTTTCTTGATGATTATTCATGCTTACCCTCTCTATGACCACCCTCCTCAACAGAAATTGGTTTAGACCCGGAGTCCTGATCCAGTGGGGCCACCCCATTTATTGAATCTACACAAGGGTCATGACACAGGTTTTTAGAGAAAACTCCGGAACTACCTATTCCAATAAATAAAAGATGCAGCATAACTTCTCAACTCACCATTGCCAATTTCTGAATCCCCAATATCATTTATCTTTTGGTCTGAATTTGCTCCAGTACCCACATTTTCCTGCCAAATGAAGATGTGAGAAATATTTTCCACAACTCATACAAACAAACAGAAGATATAGAGAGAGAGAGAGAGAGAGAGAGAGAGAGAGAGATTGATGGGTGAGAATTTAACTCCACACAAAGCAGAAGAACCAGGTTTTAAAATTTTACAAGATGATACCTTTCCTCCACCAAATGAAGCTGGAACTTTAGCATCATCTGATTCACTTTCAGAAGAACTGCCAGAGTCGGAATCTGTGAAGAAATTATATCATGTGAGCAACACCCAAATTTGTAAAAATACGAGTCATTCTATTTGGAACAAAATGCTGGAACATTCATGAAAACCATTGTGACAACACAAGTATCTTATAGTTTCATAGGAGGCTACACAGATATTCCTGAAATCACTTCTTTGGCTTGTCAAAGCAAACCATACAGGAAGATAACCAATGACACAATTTAAAATAACGTATAAGAGTCTCTTCAAACAATAATGTACGAACTTTTTTGTATGCTTCAATTTAGAGCATCACATAATTACAAGATACATACTAAGGGATAAAACTAATGAGGGCACACTGCAACAACTCCACCCCATCATATACCATGAAGGAATAAACGTGCTCAGGATAATTGTAGAACTTTTAAAATCTAAATTTTTTCAGATTTTGTAATAGTCACTTTTATGTTGTAAAATTATTTCACTATCCGCTAGGACCATATCATATCTCAGTATTTGCAACACATCTATTACAGCATTGGGGGTCTAGTCCTTTCCAAAAAGTTCTAGTCACTAAATGAAGTCAACTGTTCACTCACATAAAGTAAGATACACCTATTCCTTAACTAGAAGGATATAACTTACATTACCCTTATTCCTTTTTTATAAGATGAGTAGACACAATTCTAACAAACTGGGAGAAAGAAAACAACACCAGCATTCCAAATCAAGTGATCCACACTTTCTCCAGAAAATCTAAGTCAACATTATAATGGTTAATTGACAAAAACATGCGCATGTTCTTTCGATTTTTTTTCTTTGAAAACACAATAACCTAATTACTAACTTTTACATCAAAATGACAAAAGAGCCTCTTGAAGTGCCATTGAAATTACATGTACTATTGTATATCAGAAATACCAGTTTCAGAATGATTAAGATGTCACCTCTTACTCATAAAAAGACATACACATTCAACGATATCAACTCAATGTACAACTAATGGATTCACATTAAAAAGTGTCTCAAACTGAAACATACACAACAACGAGGTGCTGCAACCAAGGCAAAGTTCTAAAGCATTAATTAGAACTCCGTACAATTGAATTTCACTTATTTTCTTTAATTGTTGAGAAGACCATGTTCCAGTTTACACTATGGCAATGCAAAACATAACCTATCAAGCAAGCAACATACACAACAAAGAGGTGTAGCCACCAAGGCAAGGGCGATAGAATTTCAAACATTTTCTTTAACTGCTGAGAAGACCATGTTCCAATTTAACACTATGGTAATGCAAAACATAGCCTTTAAAGGAAGCAGAACAGCTAGACAATAATAGAAGACAGTTGACACTAAAATGAATGGCGTAGGGAGACAGGGATAACAATCATATCTTGCAATGGTCAAGGGAGACAGGGATAACAATCATGGACTGTAATATTACTCTCACACTGCACCTCAGACTTCATGTGTATCTATGTGTGTGTGTGTGTGTGTGTGTGTGTGTGTGTGAGACAGAGACAGACACAGGGCATTTAGTAAAATAATAATTTGCATAGGAGGAAATATGTACTTCTCAACAGCATATCCTCTGTCTAACAAGCTCCAAAATTAGAACATTGAAAACAATTTATAAACCTACATATATGAAAAGTAGGTAGAAACACAAACCACTGGATGAAGAGCCTGATTCACTACTGGAGCTACTTGAGCTACTGCATTTACTGTTTCTGTGAGCTGGATCTTTCTCTATCTCCACTGGAGGAAAGCTTGAAATAGGAGCATCGTTCCCACCAACAATATCCACTTCCTCATCGCCTGGGTCATTGCCTGGGTACATGCAAGTCATAAGAATCCATGCTGTTAGAAATAAGTTCCTTGCAGAAGAAATTTTTTTAACAGTTCACTGAATGAATATTCATAGAGCTGTTATTGAAAATGAACCTTTACATGGTTGCATTGATGAGTTGCTAAATCCTGACTCATTAAGAATCTGCAGTAAAAAAAGGT